GGAGAGAGTGCGCATTTCAATAAATATCTCTGGAAGTTTCATGTTTAGGTGGAATGCCTGGAAAACTCAGTTTGCTTTGGATCCTTTTAAGTATAGTGATGGGTTTCCGCCTGTGTCACAAACTCGGCTGACCAAAAAATATCAGAATGATCTGCAGATTGGAGGAGAAAAAGACACCGTATACAGAAGTATTGTGTGTCAGCCTGGCTCAGTTGCAGCACTCTTGCCTGAGTTGGAAGGTTATGGGTTCAAAGCACCACATTGGGACTTTGAGCTCAAAATCTAGGCTGACACTCCATTGAAATGCTGGGGGTGAACTGCACTGTTCGAGGTCCTATCCATCAGATAATATGTTATACTAAGGTCCAGTTTGCCCGTTCAGGTGGATGTTAAAGATAATAATCCTTACATTTGACAAAGGCCGTTTTATGTCAACAGGATGTTTCAAAATGCTTCACAGGTTATGTTGCAAGGTTTAGTGTCCGTATTTTGTACATAAATTGGCGCCACTTGAAAATAGAAAGGAGTTTGCCTCAGTGTCCTGGCCAACAATTCCATAGGTAGATTGTTGGTCATACACTTCATAGCTGTTTTTGGAACATTGCTGTGCACAAATTGGCTGCCGTGGTCACATGCACAGCCACTACATGCTTCAATAAATCCTGTGAAGTGCCTTGAGACATCCTCACATGAAAGATGCTATATCAAGTGCAAGGATTATTTTTTAAGTAAATTAATATCTACATATATAATATATGTATGTATATACATATATGCTAACACCGATTAGTTGCCCTTCTGCCTATATAAACATTTTCATTTAATTTCAAAGTAATTTTTTTTGGTATATCACTTCAAGACTTTTTTATTTTAAGTTATTATATATTGTAGTGNTTTTTGCCATACAAAATATGCAAATAATGTGCAGTTGACTTCACTTATGTCATGTTATCTTCCTGCCCTGCAATTTTACATTTCATTTCAGAATGCAGCTGTCAGCAATTTGTATGTCCTGCTTCATAAGCAGAACTGTTACTGTTTCTGGAATATTTAATCACATGTGGCATTCCCTTGACTTGTGCTGTAATTAATAAATTCATGCCGAGGTTGTCATGGGTTGCCAGTGCTACAGATATGATTTCCTTCATCTCAGTGTTATAGTTGAATCAGTTTGCAATATGCACCTTCAGAATAAAGCATGGGTTAGTAGCAATTATTCTATGTGTTCATTAAAACTCATCAATGTTACAATGCAATCCTTTTTTTACTGACAGTCTGGTACATATTTGAAACCGTCTTCGGCGTTATTGACTAACCTTTTGCTATTTACTAAACCCTGATATAGGTGCAACTAATAATGCCAGTAGTGTAAGTCCTGTAACATTTCAGAAATGGTAGCAGACGAAAGTTAATTGGATTTTCCTCGCTCCAAAAATTGATTACATTGATATTCTTAGTCCATTGGGATAAAAGATTTACCATCATATTATACTGTATGTCAGAATTTGTGAATTGGCATTAATATTGTCCAAAGTTGCCTTAACTCTGATTGCTGGCAACTCTACATTTCCAAATCATAAATTGTGGCACTGAAAAATATTTAGATTACTGCAATAAAGCTATTTAGATAACAGGGTAGCTTTATTATTGAAATAGTGGGATATCTGTGACATGAATTTACAAATAGCAACTCCTGATGGATGCACTTCACTTTGACCTGTTAGAACTATGCCCTGAAGCACCTGGAGTTAAATTGGATTGGAACAGAGGTAACATGGATCAGTATGACATATATCTGATTCACATCTTCCTGTTATAAATGCTGTGTATCGTCTCCCACTAATATTAACCCTCTAAAATACATTTAATATCCTCATTTCAAATGAACAAAGCATTAAAAATTGAATACTTATGCTCACTTTTTTTATTTTCTCTTCCCTATTTCCCTATTTATCCTTTTTTTAAAAAAATTAAACTTTTGTTTTATTATTTTCTACCTTTATGTTCTTTTTCCCCTAACTTTAATAGACTATTACTTACCATCCTTCTTCCTTCCAGTTTTTTTGGAAAATAACCTTTTCAAAAGCTTTTCCGGGGGGCTATTTTACCCACTTAATGAAAAGCGGAGTTAAGAGTGGAAATGAGAACTGTTTTAGCCTGGCTAACTTATTGTTTATACTTTGTGTGATGTGTTTGCTGACAATTGAAAGATGTGATGAGATCATTAGCACCAGAGCAAGTTATCACATCATTGAAAATTGTGGTTTTACCGATCAATAATTATCGACTCTGTGGGGTGGGGGGTGACTTCCACAGAAAATATAATTTCATTGAATATACTTTAAACCGGGACATTAGTTCAACTGTGGATTTTGTTTACACATGATGGTGGGTTGATGTAAATATTATCAACAGTTGGTGCATCCTGTACATTTTTTTAAAAAACAGATTGCTCCTTTCTCATAAAGCATTGCACACAGCTGCTCATGTTGCACTGAATTACTTTTCAAACTGTCCTGATGAAATAGCCCCAACGTCTAGCGATTCAGGTCTTTCTTATTAACTGTGGTTAAACAGCCTGAATAATATAGCACTTTTGTCAGCTGAACTGCTACAACCATCGCCATGACAACCAATTACTTATTGAAAATGTTGGCTCATTCTAATACTGGCCATAAATTCAATAAAATGCATAATCCATGGTACATGAGATATTACCACAGCCATCAATCTCAGCTACAGATTGAAGATCTCATTAACCTTAAAAACTGTGGAGCTTAGTCATGTTTTATCTATGCTATGCTGTAAACAAAGTACCTACACAAAATGCATTGTAGCAATCCTATGTGATGTAATCCTATGTAGACATGAAAGGCGCTATACAAATGTAATTTTGTTGTTGTTGTTGTAGACGTTATCCTTTGTAGATGTTATCCTAAATGAAAGGCGCTATATCAATGCAAGTTCTTGTTGTAGCAATGAAGGATGAACTTCCAGATATCAGAATGACATACGTATTGTGCTAGTGCTACCTTTGCTCCCCAGATTTAACTGAAAATGCCATATTCATAACTGCAAATTGCAATTCCACTCACCACTTCCCTTTCAGACATTTCTTGCTTGGAAAGGAACCAAAAGATCCATTAAAAGATTGAACAGCAACATTGGGGTTTGAGATTGAATTTTTTTCTTCTAATTCGATGGTGAATCCCACAATTTCAGTCATAAAGCAGAAGTTGCTCTTTGTGCAGTGATTTTTGATTTCCAAATTCTGCATTGTTCGAGCTTGCACCTAACTAACCATGTAGGGTTGATGCGAAACTAAGAAAAAGCTTTTGGGGTTTCATAAAATCCTCCAGAGACCAGTAACTTTCTAAAATGGACTTCTGATTGTTTTTGCCTCTACAAGTTCACTTGGTTCTGATAAGTGCCAGAGTCATGTGATGCATTTTATGTGGTTGCATTATGTAATATACATTCTGACTGATGGCTATGTGTATTTCAGTGCAGTCTCATCATCAAGTAGCTGTGATAGCTGACTTGTTTTTAACAAGTATGATGAACAAGCAATCCTAAGTATGGGGCATTGCTAAGCACTGCAATCAATTCCACAATCATCCAAGTTACAAACAATTCAAGTGTAATAGTTTATTTGTTCTGTGATTTATTGTCATTCTGTTTTTTTTAATCTATGCAGTTGCACAAATAATTTAGCTGCACCTAAGACTAATTACAGTATTTGCAAATACCTGTAATACTGATTACTAATGGTAATTGAGCAATTAATCACTTGTTACTGAAAAAGCATCTTACATGGTGAAAGAAATAAGCAGGTATTTCCTGGAGAACACTGGAGCCAACTGAAAGCATTCCAAAAACAGCGTGATTTCATTAAAGAGTTTCAGCCATTCACTGTAATTTACATTAACATCAACCAGCCTTTCTCTATTGTCCTTATCCCTCAGTAATGAATAAATAACCTGGCATGCCTTTCAAAATCTAAATTGACATCATAAACCAGAAGTGCGGGGAGGAAGGGGAGATTTGGAGAAGGACAAGTGGGAACCTCTGCTGATTTCTCCCTAATGTAGCACACTTAGGGGAAAAGTCAGCTTGGGTTCCCACTTGTGTGTCCCCTCCTGAGGACAGCTAATGCAGCAGAAAGCAGGGATTGAGCCTGCAGATCCCCAGTCTTTATGGTCAGGGAATGCATGAAGAGTCNTTTTTTTCTAGGTTATGAAGGGAGAACAGGAGGATTTTCAAATAACTAATCTTGCGCTAGTTTATATAGATCAACAGGAAGAGAGATGACTTTGCAAAGCCTAAAGTACAAAAAAAACTAATTTGGTGTTTGAATCGTGCTGTGATGGGCCTGCTGTGTATGGTTCCCATTCTTACATTTAAATGTGCATTGTGCAAATGTTAAGGCAATAGAGTACAAATGGCAATACGGTTTGTAAAGTGCTTTCATTTGTCTTCCATAAGCAAAATGTCGTTGAATGCACTTGCATACAATAATTTTGTTTCAAAAATCTAAAATACGCATTATATGATATATCTTTGCACAAAATTATATATCAGTACAAACATAGTGAGGAAAATTGATAACTACTGTTGATGTCTTGATATGGTATTTTATAATGGCAGAATTATAATAGATCTATTGCCCCTTGCCTGATCAATATGCAATATCAGTGTTATCCATATTTATGTTGCCCTCATACTATATATTATTCAAATGCCAATCATTCCATTAAGTATTGTTCCTGCTAAGTATTATGACGATTATGGATTCAACAGTGGTAATATTGTACAAAAATGAATAAACTTAAAAGAACACACAGGATATAACTATCAAAGCAATATTTATTTCAACACATTGGCTACCTTCCTACAATGTTATGAAAAATCCTTTTCTCATTGATATTAATTAATCTGTGTGTGCTTCGTTCAGGTTAGAAGATAATAATCAAACTTTTGTTTACTGTATTCATTCTTAGGTGTATGAGACACTTCCATGCTGCAGTGATTGCAGTCAGTATAACTGGATCGCTGAACCTTGGACTGTTTGCAAAATCAGCAGAGAGGCCACTCACAACTGTGGAGAAGCCACACAGATGAGAAACATTAGGCAAGTAGAAATAGTTTATTTTAAAAAGGTCTCATTGGGAAAACATTTCACCACTGTCCAGATTTACGAATTCCCCTATACCCGGCTCCCACCACATCCCTTCATATTTTTACTCCCTGAGTATCTATCCAGTGTAAGATCAGATCAGTGGGCGAGCCTTCAGCCTCTCTGCCTTTGGAACGTCATCCTACATTTTCTTTGCCTTGCTCCCTCTCTTGCCTCCTTCAAGTCCAGGCACTATACAAAGTAATTTTGCATTGTGCTGTACTGTATTTTCGTAGATTTCAAAGATACTTACAGAACACTGGCTTCAAAGTTAAGATTGTATTTAAGAATTTGGCATATTTTGATTATTCTGAAATGCTAAGACAATACATTAAATTGAGACCCAGGTGCAGTTTCCCTTGCCCATCCGCCTTGAAATGTTTGGAAGCCTTCTGATTTGAGTTTCCTTTCATTTTATCATTCGACATGATGTTACAGTGCAAGTGCAACAAAATTGAACTGCCGGTTTATATTGCATAGCTTGCAGTGCAAACAGGCAATACAATTTTGTTGGGAAGCAAATAACTTCTTAATCTGTACCACATTCCAATTACTGGTGTCTAAAAATGCTCTCGTGGTGTAAATGCAGAAGTACCCAACAAGGTAAAATAACATTTTATCATGGTTATCTCATCTATACTAATAAAGACTTAGATAGACACACAGTCAGACATTTTGTCTTTATTAGTATAGATAGATTATTGTATAAAATTATATGCATAAGGGGAGGGGCTAAACTCTAGAGTGGGAGGGTCCCACCTTCAGCCCCAGGCTTCAACCTCCCTGGCTAGTCCCTGCTAGGCTGTGGCAAGGAGGAAGCTGGAAACCCCACAGCCTTACTGAGTCAACTGCCACCAGCCCACCTCCTACATGGCACCGCCAGTCTGGGTCGCCCAGGAGCAGCAGGAAAAGCAGCCGAACTGCTGCCATCAACGCTGCTCGAGGCAACTTCCACCTCACCGCCGCCATCTTGTTCCCGCCGCTCTGAGTGCATGTGTGTTGCGTGCCACTGGGAATTGGCTCTGCTACCAGGGGTAACTGCAGCATATATATAACTGTTTAACACGTAGCTCATCAATGATAGGAGATACCCCCCAAAACATGCCCATGACACTCCTCAATGCAAGACCTTTCTGATGAGGTATAAATCATGTCTCTACGTCAATCAGTTATTGAGTTCTTTGTGGACACACAGACACACACACAGACATTACGTCTTTATTAGTATAGATTAGTATAGATATATACAGTATATATAAAAGTAATGAAGATGCTTCTTGTTTTACCTCTATAGATGTGTGAGTAGTGCAGCTGATGGACTTGGGGAGAACGTGAATGATACTCTATGTGATTATGAGGAGAAGCCAGCTGGAACCCGTCAGTGCTCTCTGCCTTGCCCAAATGATTGTGTAGTGTCTGACTGGGGCCAATGGAGCGCATGTTCACAGGTTGGTGTTTCTTTTTGTTTCAACTGTGTTCAATACAATCAGAATATCCAATGTTTGAGACATAATTATTCACATTAGTCAAAAAATACACAGAGAATTAAACCATTAGGATTAATGTGTAAAGTTCATTTATTCTCTGTTTTTCTCTGCTGGGAGCAACGTGATTTATATTGCAATGTTACTCTCACTGTAATATCTTCAATGTTGTAAAGTTTAGATGAAGCAGATATTGTCAAAAATTGCTGTATGTTTGTCTAGCCAAATCATCGAGAGTTACATACTATTGATGTTTATACTTTCAACCAGCCATGCGATCTGCACTTAAATAAAGCCTTTAAAATTGGGAACTCAAGTAAAAGCGAGTAAGCTGAATGCACACAAGCATAGGGTCCACAGTGCAATCATGTTTTATTCAAATTTGTACAATAAAGAGGTGCATTATAACAGGGCTGCACTCTACACAATACATTTTGTGAAGCACTTTGTGAGTTTTTTATGTGATGTAACTATTATACCAAATGCAAGGATTACTAGTGTTAATCCTGAGTCATGGAGCCAGGTTTGACCCTATCAGTCACACACTGCTAATATCTCCCACCTTGCAGCAAAGTTCCAAAGGGTGGGGGCAGAGAGGCTGAAAGCCCGACTGCCGATGGGGGGTGTGGACCAGGCCGGAGCCTGCTGAGCGGAGGGAGCAGACAGGTTGATATGGGGTTAGCAAGTCACAGAGGTAGAAAGGAGCTAGACCATGGAGGTTTTTGAAGACGAAGACAAAGATCTTGAACTCTGTCCTTTGGGCGATGGGGAGCCAGTGGAGCTGGGCAAGGCTTAGGTTGATAGTGTCATAGAGCCTTGTGTGGAAGTTCTGGATGATTTGAGGCTTGTGGAGGGAAGAGTTGAGAAGGCCAACAGGTAGGGAGTTGGGATAGTCAAGCCTAGATGCAGTAAATGCATGGATAAGGTTTTCACTGAGGGGAGAAGTAGTGGAGGAGCTGGGCGATGTTGTGGAGATGGGGGAAGGCAGAGCGGGTCATGGTACGGATATGGGATAGAAAGGACAGTTGACATACAAACAAGATGCCATGGTTCTGAACTGGCTCAGTGAAATGGAGTGTACATCCATGGATGTGGTCAAGTGGGGATAGGAGACGAGGAGGATGGAGGGAGAGGAGGACTGAGCAGGAGTGATGCAGGGTAGAGGACAGGGATGGGGGCATTTGGGGGAAAAGCAGCTCGGATCAGGGGCGGCAGCCAAAATGCTTATGCTGAGACGGGAGGCAAAGCAATCAGCCTGCAGGAATGGAGACAGCGGGGGCGAGAAGAGACTCATTGCATTATTTACCAGATTGCCCAACCTGTAAATTAACACAGAGAAGTTTGCAGTGAGAAGAGAGAGGAAGGAAGCAAGATAATAATAATGAAAATAAGACTGTACCAAACCTGATTCCAATATTTCAAAAAGTGGCACACGGAAATGATGTCACGCAGGGAGTTTCAGCAGTTGGTTCAGGCGGGAGATTTTGAAGCCACATTACTGAAGGTTTAATAATACAGTTTACATAGTTGATAACTTAATGTCATGATTCTTGATTCTAAACTGAGCACAGTCTGCTCAGTGTGGAATTAGACAGTCATTACAATCTCCCTTTCTTACCAAGACACATTTTTTGTCTGACCAAGTATAATACAAGATTACTCCAAGGTACACAAGGGCACAGGTTTGTGGTTGTGAAGGGCAATTAGAGGACAGACACCATTGAACTTTTTCTTTGCACAGAAGGTGATCCACAGCTGGAATTCATTACTAGGAAGTTTCGTAGAGGCTAGTGGATACTGGGTTTACTTAATAAACTGTTAGAAGCTAGGGTTAGCATTTTATATGGGCTCCATTTGTACCATTGTTCTGATATTGCATTATAGCAGAAACTCTAAATAATGATTAAATCCAAACTGTTTGCTGAATAAATAAGAAACAGACGCATACTCAGGTACACCATAAAAAAGCAATAACACAAAAAGAATTGTACATTTTTCAAAAATACAGTTTTTAAAATGAGCTTTCAGCGGATTGAAGACTTATTCTGGTGACTACTTGCACCATTTGCCCTTTGTACAGTCGACAAAACAGATGTTGATACAGCACATTGCAATTGGATTAATTCCTCACAGGCATGCATTAACACACAAAGCGAAGTACTGGAGAGGATTCGGGCTGTGATGTTCTGGATAATCTGCAATTTATGTCGGGTGAAGCTTTGGGGGCCAATGCGAAGAGCAATCTAGAGCACTAAATTCCATACTTTTAACACTATTTATGTAAATGAAGATGGTTGATGTATGCTGGAGCCCCAATTATCATGTGTGCTTGTGATCCCCAAAATCCCATCCCACATTATAGCAAGGCGCAATAGCAGGTTTCACTGCGCCTGCACACTTCCGGTTGACTCACTCTCATCCCACTCAGCTCTTGTTAGCCTGCAAACCAAAGTCCTAATGGGTAGGGTGGTCCTAGCTGGACAAGCAGCAGGAAAACTTGCCAGACAGCGAGATCAATACAAGATATGCGGTTCTAGCTGGTTGGACTCCAGCAGTACCCCAACATACCCAGATGTTTAGGTAAGCTAAAGCGAGAAGCTAAAATGGGTGATTCTGGGTCATTAGGACATTAGGACACATCATCACTTCTCAGGCAGAACTGCGCAGGAACTTTTCAATGAACTTTAGTTTTCTTGAAAACCATGAAGCTAACATCTGGGTTCAGTGTATTGTGTAAATGCCCTTTAGCAAAATTGAATGTTTGTTGTTTTTTTTTACTGCCCTGACTGGCTTGCAGTAGGAAGCATCAAAAATTGGACATCATGCTCCACGTGCTCACCATACTCAAATAGCTTCTCTACCCACACACCCCAACCCGACCGCCCCCGCACCCCCCCAACCAGGTGCAACAAACAGCGTAATATATTTCTGCCTGGAAAGTTCAAAATTTGTGCCATGATGTTCATTGATTCAGAACAAATTAACTTCCAGATACATTTTTTTTGAATTAGTATAGTGCAGAAACTGCAGCTTTTCATATAAAAGGCTGTGCAAAGAATTGGTTTTATCTCCCAAGAGAAGATTTTTGTTAAAAAAATAAGTGTCACTTGTAAAGTTGGTGCAAAATTTAGGTAATCATGAAGAGGTTTTTCACCATAATCATTTGGGTCCTATCTATTTATATCCGAGCGCTTATTGGATGGTTCTTTTTAAATGAAAATAGACTGCACGTGTTGTTACCCCCTCTCCCCCACTACTCCTCCCCTTAATATACTATTCGCAAACAAACCTTAAGTGAAGTATTATCTCCAGCACCACTGTTTCGTGACATATTAGCAAAAGACAAGGAATGTGGTGCAAACCATTTCCTTTATACGTTAGTAATCCGATAGGGTGTGACACCGCAACAACCGATTAGGAAAAGGAGTAACTGAAACCCATTTCCTGTTGAAAGTTAGTAACTGATGATTTTAACGCACCAATGCAGGCAACAGAAATAAAAACATTGTTTCTCTTCCCAGTATAGCAAATACTATATCAGGGAGAGGGGAAGGGAGGCAACAGCATCTGCAGTCTGCCTTAATTTAAACAGAAGCATCAAATAAGTGCACTGATAAAAAGGACTCAAGTGATTATGCTGAAAAATCTCTTCATGATTACCCTATACTTTGCACCAACTTTGAAGTGGAAAATGCTGAAAGTCTGGAAAGGTTAATCATCACCTAAAAAAGCCAAATATATTCAGTTAGATTTTGTGTCAAACATTTCACTGGAATGCTGTTTTACCCCTTTCAGCTGTTCGACTTCAGATTTCCAACTTTTCTCCATTAACAAATGTAATAACAATAATAATCCATGCAACTTTGCACTTGTCATGTCGGGAGAATGTCTCAAAGCGTTTCACAGGATTTACTGTGAAGTGTCGTGATTGTGTGTTTTGTAGATTGCTGTTTGTTCCATACTGTGGATTTCCAGAATTGGTACTTTTCTGTTAATTTGCTCCCCCCCCACACTCATCCCTCCTTGTTACCTGTTGTATTTTATGTGTGATTTTTATACAGCATTGCAATGTTCTAAATGTCAGTGTTCGGACTCGATATCCACTACGTTTGCCGGCAAATGGGAAAACCTGCCCAGAAGTCTCGGAAGTGGAACCTTGTGTCCTCAACAAAAACTGCTTTCACTATCAGTACAACTTAACAGGTAATGGGATGTTACAGAATTGCAAGCAATAGATCCTATCAAAACTCACACTCAATTGAAAAGAAATCGAGCCATAAGGAGGGGTAGAGGTTCATGTGTAGTATAAACACCTGCATGGATCAGATGGGCCAAATAGACTGTTTAATTCCTGTACGGTCTACGACAACAACAACTTGGACTTATATAGTGCCCTCCATGCAGGGTAGTGTCTCAGGAGGTTTAACAATGACGGAGCCTAATTCCGAACTGGGGTGGGGAGGTGACCGTAAGCACGTTCGAAAAGGAAGGTTTGCAGGTGGGACTTGAAAAAGGGAAGAGATGGTGCAAGGCGGAGGGATTGAGGGAGAGCATTCCAGAGTTTTGGGGCATAGAGGCTGAAAGCGCTTCTTCCAATGGTGGCTTGGAGGTTGCGGGGGACAAGCAGGAGGCCGATGTCAGTCGAGCGGAGGCGGCAGGTGGTGGATTGGGGAGTGAGGAAGTCGGAGAGATGGGGAGGTGCCAGAGAGTGAAGGAATTTGAACACGAGTGTGAGGTTCTTGAAGTCGATCCGTTCAGTGATGTGGAGCCAGTGGAGCCTGGGCCAAAACTGGTGAGATGTGGGTACAAAGTTTGATCTGAGTCAGTGTGCGGGCGGCAGAGTTCTGAGTGAGTTGGATCTTTTGAATAGTGGAGCTGGGGAGACTGGCGAGGAGTGCGTTTGAGTAAACCAGGCAGGAGGTGACAAACACATGCACCAGGGTTTCGGCTGCAGTTGAGGTAAGGTACGGTCGGAGGTGGGCAATGTGGCGGAGGTGGAGGCAGGCAGTCCTGGTCAGGGACTGGATGTGGGGGAGGAAAGACAGCTGGGAGTTGAACCAGTCTATGTAATTCTATGCAAAAAAAATTAAACTGTGAGTTGATTTCAGAAGAACAACTGATGTTTCTGGATCGTACGAATCAGCCAGTATTGATGATATTGTGGGTTTTGTAGATATTGGTTAGAGCACTTGCCTCGCATGAGAGAGGGTCCATGTTTGATTTCCGGACAGGGCGAAACTTTAGGCAAGTTTCCTTACTCCACACACCACTGTTTACATAGCAGTAAGTAGGAACCCGGTTGTTAGTCGATTGCCGGATTGTTTTTCCGTGGGTATTAATATCTTCAAAATAAATAAATAATAATTTGCTCACTCAATCCATGACTGTTTGTGGGACACTGCTGTGTGCAATTGGCTGCCATATTTCGCCCACAACATATACAGTTAATTCACTTTATACTATATCCTTTGAAGTGCTTAGAGATGTCTAAACAACATGATAAAGCTCTATATCAAATGCAAGGATTACTATTATTATTGTTTGCAAGCCCCAGGTTACAGCTTTCTGTTGAGTGACATTTATGAGTCTCTGCAGACGGTCCACATATATCAGTAATCTGAACAGAATATCATTGACCTGTATAACTGTACTGAGCCTCCAGTCCACTCATAATACAGAGAAATAGCACTGCATACATTTATATTTGTCCTTGGGGAAAAAAAGGACAAAGGTCCTTGGGGAAGAAAAGCCTTGGGTATGATGTGGGGGTGAGTGGGGAGAGGGGGGGGGGGAAGTGTGGGTGGCTTTGTAAATAGTAGTTACAATCTCTTAACATGAGCGTGCCACTATCATAGTCAGTGTATGTAGAAATTACAGTGAGTACCACCTACTGCTTGTCCAGCTAGTACCACCCTACCCGTTAGGACTTTGGGTGACAGGATAACAGGAGCTGAGTGGGATGATTCCCCCAGTAACTTGTCCTTCCAAGACCTGCCGATGATCCAGGCTGGCCGTGTGGTCATATGCAGTGCCTACTGTGAGTACTATTGCATGCTATCTGAGAGGTAATATACGTATGTTCAGAGTTACTGGTGTATAAACTGGCAGGAGGAATATTGCTGAACAGAATACAACATTCTTCTCATTTGCACCAGTTAGGAATTCATGCAGCATGTTTAATTTGTGGTGTATCTGAGACGTTTCACAGTGTCAGAGACAGTGGTCGCTAGTTAATGAAGTGACCTTCTATTTGTGTGGCTTTGTGATCCTCAGATTGGGGCACTTGCCAGCTGAATGATGAAGCAGTTTGCGGGGAAGGAATGAAGAGCCGCATGTTGGACTGTGTGCGGAGTGACAGAAAATCAGTTGCTATCAAGCACTGTGAGAAGGTGAGACTTCACAGTCCAATGTCTAAATCTGGACACAATTCCAACCTTCAGCATACAATTATACAGAATTATAGATTAATATGTACTGTTAACAGCACATCAATTGCAGTGGCTTGTTATATGCAGTAATGTTCATGATCATTCATGCAGCACAAACAAGCCAGTGAAGCATAAAAGTGAAACATTTGTTGATAATGACTGTTACATAATACAACAGGATTGACAGCTATTATTTGAATCAACTCTTTCTGACATCACATTGTATTCATAAGCAGNAAAAACATCATTTGGAAAACAGCAGCCTGTTTTACATTTCTTTTACGCATCGTGAATGGATTCCAACCCCCAACTGTTATAATTGGGACACTGCTGCGTGCAATTGGCTGCCGCGTTTTGTCCACAAAATCCACAGTCACTCCACTTTACAGTATATTCTGTGAAGGGCTTTGAGACGTCTTGACGACCTAATAAGGCACAATATCAAATACAAGGATTCAAAAAATGCAAATGCAAGGATTCTAATTGAACCAGTGCCAGGAAGAAGCATGTTGACAGGGGAAGTACTGTATCAGAAAGAGAGGCAACAACAGAAAATTATAAATTATAACGACTCTTTTCCGTTGAAAGTTATGTTTCAACTGCTCCTTTGTAAACACTTAGGAAATGTAAGATTGTATGATACTCGGATTCATTAAAAAAAAGCAATAAAAATATGATGGGCACGACAGTAACGCAATGTAATTGGAGGTATGGGATTTCATTGATTTCTGTAAAATGTAAACAACAACAAAATTACATTTCTATAGCGTCTTTCAAATCAGGAGGATGCCCCAAGGTGCTGGACGATCAGTATTTCGGACCCGAGCTGGGGGTTGGGATTGGGGAGGGCGGGTAGGGGAAGGATGGTGATCTAAGGCATGGTCAGAGGAGGGTCTTGAGATGGGTCTTCAAGGAGGCAAGGGAGGGGGCGAGGTGGAGGAACTGCGGGATGAAGTTCCAGGGGATGGGGGCAGAATGGCAGAAGGCCTGCCCGCCAATTGTGGGGCGGGCGAGGCAGGAGAACGTGATGTAGGCTGGAGCCCGCTGAGCGGTGGAAACAGGCAGGAAGGTAGGGCGTTATGAGGTCTCAGAGGTAGGGGGAGCAAGGCCATGGAGGGCTTTGAAAGTGAGGACCAGGATCTTGAACTGTATCGTCTGTGTGATGGGAAGCTAGTGGAGTCGCATGAGGATAGGGATGATAGCGTCATGGAGCCTGGTGTGGGAGAGGACACGGGCAGCAGAGTTTTGGAGGATCTGCAGCCTATCGAAGGAGGAGTTGGGGAGGCCGACAAGCAGAGAGTTTTCATAGTCAAGCCTGGATGTTATGAATGCATATATGTGAGTCAGTTGTGGAACCAGATGATCTTGCAGAGGTGGGGGAAAGCAGAGCGGGTCATGGCACGGATGTGAGGTAGAAACGATACTTAATTGTCAAACAAGATGCCAAGGTTCTAGACTGGCTCAATGAGTTGGAGTGTGCAACGATGGAGGGTGATGCTGTCAGCACCTGATATGTGGAGACATTGACGGTAGCCAATCAGGAGGGCCTCGGTTTTGTTGATGTTCAACTGAAGAAAGTTAGCTCTCATCCAGGACTTGATGTCTGACAGACATTCTGTCAGGACAGCAGTGGACCTGCACTGGAGGCAGAGAGGTAGAGTTGGGTGACATCTGTGTACATGTGGAAGTTGACCCCAATGTTTGCAGATGATGTCACTAAGAGGGAGCATATAGATATTGAAGAGGAGGGGACCAAGGACAGAGCCCTGAGGAACACCCCACGAGATGGTGCAGGGGCTAGAGGAGAAACCGTTTGTGGAGATCAGGTGGAGACGGTGGGAGAGGTAGGATCTGAACCATTCAAGGACAGAACCATAAAAGTTGAGGTGAGAGGAGAGGTGGTGGCGGAGGATAGAGTGGTCAACGGTATTGAAGGCATCTAGGTAGGTCAAGTAGGATGAGGAGGCAGAGGGAGCCCTGGTCGCAGATGGACAAAATGTAATTTGTCACTTTGACCAAAGCTATTTCTGTGCTGTGGGTGGCACGGAAATCCGATTGGAGCTCGTGAAGGGAGTGGCAGAGGGAGCTGAGCGGATGCCCTTGACTTTGGTTTCGAGGAAGTCCAGCATTGCCTCGCAGTTGGTATTGGAGGAGAGGATGGGTGAGGCATGAGAGGATGGGCAGAGGAGCCGGTTGGTGATGGAGAAGAGGAGCCTGGGGTTGTCCTTGGCCTCCAAGATTGTGTTGGAGTAGAACGCCGATTTACCGGACGGTGCACAAACTCCATTGAATATATTAAAATCAAAAATGACAGGTCATGGAAACTGTTCACTCTCGGAAATTACATATGGACATTTGGTCCTCAAAGATCAAACGCATTTTAGGATCAGTGCTTATTTATTACTTTCTGTTGTATAGGGATGACATTTCACACTTTATTCCACTGATTTTCAGCTCTTCTCCATAACCAGTCTATTTGTGATACAACAATGTTAGTTGAAACAAATTCTATGTAATACCACATATATCATGTCCATCGGTGGATTGCGGGTTCGACAGGCTTTATAAATTCAATAATTAAACAGTACAACATACACCAGTACAAGAAAGCTGAAATCAATGAGACACTAGTAAAAAGGTAAGGTTGTTATCTATTTATCTACATTTTTAAGGTGAGATTCAAAGGTTAATTTTCAATTCCTGGTTTGATGCTTATAATAATAGTAATAATAATAATAATCCTTGCATTTGATGTAGCAATTTAGCACTGTCTCAAAGCGCTTCACAGAATATAAAAACAACACTTTACAGAATATACTGTAAAGTGAATTGACTGTATAATTTGTGGGCGAAACGTGTATGAACTTAGAATCTTTGCATTGTCCTGCAAAGTACTGTCATAATGATTATGATCCTTGTATTTGATATCATGCATTTAATTTCAGGAGAATGTCACAAAGTGCTTCACAGGATTTACTGTAAAGTTTACTGACTGTCTTTTGTAGGCAAATGCGGCAGCCAATTTGCACAAAACAGTATCCCACAGTCAGCCAAGAAGTGAAAAGTGTAGCAACTTTACAAACACAATCATCAAACAGGAGTAGTTCAAATTGTCATTATGTATGAAAAAAACTTTGATAAGACTAATATTAGGCAAAGGCACTCAAAGTCTAAATACAATCTTTTTTTAAATAAAGACAGAAAATAAAATTAGATTAAGATAAGCCAAACTGGATCATAAAGCCTTTTATTTACACAAAACAGTCAACCTTTACGTGAAATCTATTGTATTTGTTAATTCTTCTGAGGCAGTGTTCTGTCTAAATACATCCTGATCCTCAAATTTAACAACAACAACAACAAGATTCCATTTATTGAGCGCCTTTCACATCGGGAGGACGTCCCAAGGCGCTGTACAGTTGGGTCAGGACCCGAGCAGGGGGCAATGGTCAGGGTGAGGGGAGGGAACGGAGGGAGCGAGGAGGGGGTAGAGAGTCGAGAGGGGAGCTGAAGGCTCGGTCAAAGAGAAAGGTGTTGAGACCGGCCTTGAAGGAGGAAAGGGAGGAGGCGGCGAAGGCACTGGGGGATAGAGTTCCAGAGCCTCGGGGCTGAGAGGCTGAAGGCCCGGCCACCGATGGTAGGGTGGTTGGGGCGGGGGATGTGGAGCAGACCGGAGCCAGAGGAAGGGAGGGTACGGGCAGGTAGGTAGGGGGATAGTAGGTCAGAGAGGTAGGAGGGAGCGAGGCCTTGTAGGTGAGGATGAGGATCTTGAATTCGATCCTCTGGGGGATGGGGAGCCAGTGGAGGCGAGCGAGGGTGGGAGTGATGTGGTCCCGAAGCCTGGTGCGGGACAGTACACAAGCTGCAGAGTTCTGAATGACCTGCAGTGTGGAGGGAGGTGCCGGGAAGGCCGGCGAGGAGAGAGTTCCCATAGTCCAGCCTTGAGGTGATAAAGGCGTGAACCAGGGTTTCAGCAGCGTGAGGGGTGAGGTAGTGCCGCAGTCTGGCGACATTCCGGAGGTGATGGAAGGCGGTGCCAGTTGTGGCGCGGATATGGGGGAGAAAGGACAGCTCAGGGTCGAACAGAACCCCGAGGTTCCTGACTGGCTTTGAGAGGTGGAGAGTGCAGCCTTGGATGCTGATGTTGTCAGCGCCTGAGGTGCGGAGGCGCTGACGCGAGCCAATCAGGAGGGCCTCAGTTTTGCGCACGTTGAGCTGGAGAAAGTTATCTCTCGTCCAGGTTTAAGTCCAAATTTAAAGAACTGAACTGCAGAATATTTCTCCGTCTTTAAGACTCAACTGTGGCCTATGCAGCTCAGGAACAACAACAACAAGAACTACAAAATTATATTTGTATAGCGCCTTTCACGTCAGGAGGATATCCCAAGGTGCTGGGACCCAACGCCTGTCAGTGTTTGGGACCTAAATCGTCTGCAAGTTCCCCCAAAAAATGAATGTAATGATTCCATCAGAGCTCTGCCACATTCATTCTCCATATTTGGAGTCCTGTAGCTCAGTGGTTAGAGCACTCGCTTTGTAAGTGAGAGACCTGAGTTCAATTCCAGGCAGAGGGCGAAACCTTGGGCAAGTTTCCTTACTCCACACAGAGCCTAATAATAATCCCTCCAAAACCAAAAACAATAATAAATTGGTCATTTTCAATCTACGACTGTTTGTGGGACATTGCTGTGCGCAATTGGCTGCCGCGTTCGCCCACAAATATACAGTCAATTCACTTTACAGTGTGTTCTGTGAAGCGCTTTGGGACGTCCTCCCGACGTGAAAAGCGCTATATCAAATGCAAGGATTATTATTATTATTATTATTATTATTATATTCTGTTTGTAATCTGCTGCAGTGTTGTGTTCTCAGCTCATTGGTTTTCCCTCCTTTCTTTGAGGTGGAACTGGAGTCCCCCTGGCGCTTGTCTATGCACTGCTTCGTAGAGTGTCCTGTAAACTGTCAGCTGTCAGCATGGACTTCCTGGTCAGACTGCTCTCGCACTTGTGGATTTGGGGGTAGGTAAAACGTGTAGTCACCAGTTTTTCTTCCATTGTTTAATGTCTTAGGACGAGCAAAACAAATGACTTGAAGATATATATATATAAAATATAATAATCCTTGCATTTGATATTACGCCTTATCACGTCTTTGAGACGTCTCAAAGCGCTTCACAGAATATACTGTAAAATGAATTGACTATAATTGTGGGTGAAACACGGCAGCCAATTGCTTACAGCAGTGTCCCACAAACAGTCGTGGATTAAGTGACCAAATTATTATTATTTTAAAACCGATTATTACTCCTGGAAAAGCAATCCACCAATCAGCTAACAACCACCTTCCTACTTACTGCTAGGTAAACAGAGGCATGTGGAGTAAGGAAACTTGCTCAACGCTTCAACCTGCAGATGGCATTCTATTGAACTAATAATAATAATAATCCTTGCATTTGATATAGCGCTTTTCACGTCGGGAGGACGTCCCAAAGCGCTTCACAGAACACACTGTAAAGTGAATTGACTGTATATTTGTGGGCGAACGCGGCAGCCAATTGCGCACAGCAATGTCCCACAAACAGTTGTAGATTGAAAACGACCAATTTAATTATTGTTTTGTTTTGGAGGGATTATTATTAGGCGTGTGGAGTAAGGAAACTTGCCCAAGGTTTCGCCCTGCCTGGAATTGAACTCACTTGCAAAGCGAGTGCTCTAACCACTGAGCTACAGGACTAATTACATAGTAATTGCTTAAATTTTAATAAGCCATATTTGGGGAACATGTATTTTGTCTGTCACTGCAATTCAGTTGTTGGTTTCCTAAGTACTTTTAAATGAATTTTTTTTATTGCTGAATTGTTGAGAAAACATGCACAGAAGCCGCAGCACACTTAAACAAATGTGTTTTATTTTACGATGTATCCGATATGAGGAAGTGGAGCTGGTACTTCACTATGCCTTCCCAGCAGCAAAATAAAATTATATTAAACCGAAATAAACATAATATAATTGTATTGAATCGGGTGAGATGTGCATTACTATTCACTGCTCAGCAATACTCATTTAAATGTTGAATAAATTTGGCAATTATTCTGATTCTGTGCATGTTTATAACAGTTGAGATTTCATATTCCATGCTACATTTGGGATTTGCATATCTGAATTTTGATTAATTAACTTGACAGTAAAGATAACAAAATATCATATACTGTAGGTATTCCTGTTGTTCAAACTAAATCTTTCTCCCATCTTTTCTTCTCTTCCATATGTTTGACTCCTATATACTTCTACTGGGTGTGGCTCCAACCATTGTATGATGCCCTTCATTACCTCATCCACATAATATAGTAATATTTGCCTTTGATATAACGCCTTGTCACATCTTCAAGACGTCTCAAAGTGCTTCACAGAATATACTGTAAAGTGAATTGACTATATTGTATGGGTATAACGTGACAGCCAAATGCACACAGCAGTGTCCCGCAAACACTCGTAGATTGAGTGATCACATTTTTTTTAATGATCCTTATATTTGACATAGCACCTTACGTGTTGAGATGTTTCGAAGCACTTCACAGAATATATTGTAAAGTGGAAGGACTATGTATTTTGTCGGTGAAGCAGTCACATATCTTATTCATGTGTAATGTTTTGACAGTGAGTTGATAAGCTATTTCACTATTGAGCGTAACTCAATAAAATCCAAACCTGTCCTCACCCAATGCCCACAAATCTACACCTCTAGCTGGGATCCGGAAATAGTCGATTAGGAGCAGAAACTCTGGCTGATTTTCCACAATCTAAGAAGTTTATTATTATCACATTCACTGTCTCCCTGACTGAGATCTCTCTGAGCACAGACTAGGGATAAATTTGTCCAGTTTGTGTGGCTCAGTTACTCACTATTTGATTTATACCAATGAAGGATTTATTTGCATTTACATTTAATGGCGTTGCCATCTCTTTCTCCAGAAATAGAAGAGATAAATAGAAAGTATTGTTGGAAACGAGATGCCATAATAGCAGAACTGAATTTCCAACAAGAAATGCCCTGATTTGTACCATTACAGAAATAATGTGTTGCTCAGTGGGTGTGTGTCATCTGGTGTGGTGCAGAGCAATGCGAAATATGTTTATATCCCTGGTTAGTGATGCTGATTTAGCTTACTGTTTGAATGATGATGATAATAGCACTGCATTGCCCACCCCATCTGGAAGCAAAACAAGCTGACCTTCAGAAGTCCCTGCCAACAACTATCATGTTTTGTGGCACTCTGCAGACCTCTGTCACTCTTTACTGGACTTCCACTCCATTGATCCTTGCTGGATAACATGCATGTGTGGACATTGGATGAGGACAGAATTGGACTCAGCTGTAGTGACTTGTAGGCTACCAGCATTCGCTGACTAGATTCACATGTGAAGAACAGGCACTTGGGTAAGGTATCAGATGGCTGTTGCATCTATACTAGAACACCCAAACAACAACAACAACTTGGATTTATATACCGCCCTCCACGCCGGACGGCATCTCAGAGCGTTTCACAGTAACGGATCCCGGGGCCGAGCCAGGGGAAGCAGGAGGAAGGTGACCAAAGGCGCGGTCGAAAAGAGAGCTTTTCAGCCGAGACCTAAAAATAGGAAGAGAGGGAGCGAGGTGAAGGGAGTGAGGAAGGGAGTTCCAGAGCCTCGGAGCATAGTGGCTGAAGGCACGGCCACCGAGGGTGGAGCGGAGGACTCGGGGTACAAGGAGGAGGCCAGACCCAGAGGAACGAAGGCAACGGGCACTATTTTGAGGAGAGAGGAGGTCTGAGAGGTAGGGGAGTGCAGAGGAGTGGAGGGATTTGAAGACAAGGGTGAAGATTTTGAAGTCGATCTTCTCTGGGACAGGCAGCCAGTGCAGTCTGACAAGGACTGGGTAATCGGGGAGCGGAGTTTGGTGCGGAGTGAGGTATTGGCGGAGACGGGCGATGCGTCGGAGGTGGAAGAAAGCGGTGCTGGTGAGAGACCGGATGTGGGGGATGAAGGATAATTGGGGGTCGAACCTGACCCCTAGGTTGCATACGGGTTCGGAGAGTTTTAGGGGGAGGTCGAGTAGGTGGAGGAGGTGAGAACCGTGAGATTTTACATGTTGACGAGAGCCAAAGATTATGGCTTCCGTCTTGTCAATGTTCAGCTGAAGGAAATTTGCGCTCATCCAGCCCCTGAGATCTGACAGGCAGATGACAGAACATCAGGGGACTGGGGGTCGCAAAGAGAGGTGGAAAAATAGAGTTTGGTGACGTCCGCATACATGTGGAAATGTACCCCATGTCTGTGGATAACGTCTCCAAGAGGGAGCATGTAGATCAGAAAGAGGAGGGGGCAAGATAGATCCTTGGGGTAACCCGCAGGTAACCGGGCGAGAGCGGGAGAAGAAGCTGTTTGTGCAGATGTAATGCTGGCGGTTTGTGAGGTAGGACTTGAATCAGGCGAGTGTGGTCACACTGAGGTGGATGACGTGATCGACTGTGTTGAACGCGGTGGAGAGGTCCAAGAGGACAAGGAGGCAGAGGGAGCCCTGGTCACAGGTAGAGAGGATGTCGTTTGTGACTTTCACAAGCACATTCTCTGTATTGTGGGCGGAAACCGGACTGGAGGGGTTTGAAGAGAGAGTGGGAGGAGAGGTGTGCGCGGAATTGATTTGCAACAGCGCATTCTAGGACTTTTGCGAGGAAGGGCAGGTTTGAAATAGGGCGGTAGTGGCTGGGGTTTGAGGGATCTAGGGAAGGTTTTTTGAGGAGGGGGGTGATGACCGCAGTTTTGAGGGGGGCAGGGACTGATCCGGAGGAGAGGGACTGGTTGATAATGTCAGCCAGTAGTGGGCAGAGGAGGAGGAGCTGGGTGACCAGTCAGTTGATGGGGAGGGGGTCGAGGCAGCAGGTGATGGGTTTCATTGAGGAGCCACTGTGTTTAGGAGGGGAGGAAAGGCGGTATTTTAATAGACTATATGTATATATATATATATTTATATAAATAAATATTTATATGGAACACCAGCCAAGTTTGTGAAACAAATACTCCAGCCTGAAGCCACTGTAACATGTTATGCTTGGAACATTCCTTTAGTGTTCGTTTCCCCTCGTGGAAATGTTAGTAGGGGCTGAGAACAAACTATCCCAAGTCCCCTTTAAGCGTAATAAATGATTGGTCCCCTGATTAAATATGCAATTGTTACTGTTGAGTAGTTAAGCGCTAACACCTCCAGGAGAACATTTTGTTTCAATGCCCTTTACAGCCGGAGCAGCCCACCTATTGAGAATCAGCGCTTGGTTTATTAAGAAATGAATAGCCTGGAACAATCTTTGGCTGCTTCATTGAAGAACTAATTAAATTCAGTTCTGATTCTTGTGTATCTCTTTCCCTTCGGTCACTGGTATCCTGATATGTATAGCCCTAACACTCCCAACTGTTTTTGCCAATTTTTGAATATGATGTGAATAATTCAGAACCACATTGTGTGGCTTTTTAGGAATGTGCAGTCAAAGAGCACTTTAGATTCTGGGCTACGCTTGATTTTTCCATTTCAATATTTTACTACCAGTGGTTTGTCAGTTGTGACCTTACTGCCTGATTTTCAATTTTAGCCTTGAGCTAAGTAGTAAAAAAAAGCTCTTTGGACAAATCTGCCTGAGCATGTGACCGTAGCAAAGACTTGGTGTGTTTGTAATACAAATATATAGCATTATCTTTAAAGTACTCCAAGATACCTTTTTTTGGATAGGTCTCCACTATTGCTGGAGTCAAAAGCATGGAAATATATTTGACACTAATATTTCTGTTGGTGTAATAATAATAATAATTCTTACATTTATTATAGCGACTTATCACATCTTCGGGACATCTCAAAGTGCTTCACAGAATATACTGTAAAGAATGCCTATTTAAGGATTATAGACTCAGATAGCAAAATCCAACACCTTTCAATTCTATCTAAGCCTTTTTTGAAGTAGGTCATCTTGTTACGAGGGCTGACTTTTATTTAATGAATATAGTTGGAGCTCAATTGCTCCACGAATGCATAATAATTGAACAAATTGGTTAATTATCACCATTTCCGAACGGGAACTCATAATTTGAATAGTTTCCTTCAATAGAGGGGAGGCTGAGTGTCTAATTAGGAACATTTCTTAACTGGATCCTTCTTTAAATCAACTTGCTTTAAAAAAGCAGTTTATCACTGGTAATATTTAAGGCAATAAATTATTTATGAATACATTCTCATCCCATTGTTATCAAAAGCAGCCTGAAAATTATTTCCATTCTCCTTTCTGTTTACACTAATATAGAATGGTAGCAAGCATCTTTAATTGGTGCTTTTCCATGTTTTATGTTCACTGAATAGACTCATTTTATGGGAGAGTAGGAGTATAGGCTAACTAAGCTTCAGATATCCCAACCACTACAATATCGGTGTAACATTTTAATCCAATGGGAAACACATGTTTGAGGCGCTGATTACACTTCCATTATCCAAAGTGGGACACTGCATCTGACAGTGTGATATGGAACAAATGAAATCCTAATTTGTCTGCTAGGCAGACAGTGCTTGTCAGAGACAGTGACACAACCTCCAATCACCGCAATGCAAATTGGGTGTCTTAGTTTCTATTACACTGGGATGTGAAAGAAGCAAGATTGACTGTCACCGGTATCTGATTGTTATTAATAATTGAAGAAAGTATTATAAAAATCAATATTTCCTCTGAGATTGTATTGTTTCCAACATAATCAATGAATCTTGTAAGCTTTATAATTATTTTCTACACTTCCATGCCAAAAGTACCAAAGGCAGTCAAATCAATGAGAAAAATAAACTAATGTATTGATTTTGTTGTGAATTTCAACTGCAAAATTCAAACTTGGTACTGATATGCAATACATCTAGAAGATGTTTTGTAAAGAATACATTTGGCACTGCAATGCATTCCATTGTTCAATTCTCACCTCAGTACAAGGCACACAAATAGTGGAAGTGGTTCTAAGAGTTAGTACAGTATCTTCTTAGCACAGGTGCTTCACATATTTCGCCGGCAAAATCCAGTCAATTCACTTTACAGGATTATCCTATGCTGCTTTAAGACATCTCGACGACATGATTAAGTGGTATACCAAAGAGCGCTTAAGGATTATTACCATTAGTAAGGATTATTACTATTAGTAAGGATTATTACTATTGCTAGTAGTATATAAAGAGCTCTGGGACGCTACACTGTGTGAGGGATGTTATATAAATGCAAGTTGTTGTTGTTATATGTTATATGTTACATGTATGTGTTTACTTTTATAACCCGGACATTAACCAGTTATAGCAAAAACTGAGAGTGGCACTTGATTGTCAGATGACTGCCGTACTCCAGACTCTGACGCATTTATATTTTGCTTTAGGGCCAGGCTTTGCAGCTTGAACAGTGAGTTTACTGCCTCATTTACCTCTTCAAAGTGAGATCAGAGACACGTTACAAAGCCTTTTCAGAAGTGAATTTCCCAGAGTTTATATTGATCTCCATCCTTAAATCCAATTAAACAATCTGTGAGTTGCTGCCCCTCCAACTGAGCCCTCCCCCCCAACTACAATTGCTACTGTAAGAGACAATGCCCACCATGAAGATGAATGTCTCTTGAGATTTACATACATGTAGCATAAAGTCCACGGAGTCACAATGCAATATGTGAAGTGATAAATACCACATTGTGAGACATTCTGCTTCTAAAGCTGTCTAAGTTAGTGACCAGTGTGGGTGAATAAACCCTCACCTTCATTTGAATGGTTGTCTGTAAAGCTGATTGCCGCATTATGAAGACGCTAACTATTATTGAAATGAAGGTTTGAAATGTCACCCAGTCTTAGCCCTGGATGACTATTTGCCTTCAAATTTAAGATGAGAAACAATTGCCGAACATTCTTAAGCCCACTCTATATTAGGAAACTGATTTCTCACAATTCTCAAAAAGAAACTGGCATCTGAATTAAGAATGCATTCAAAAATCATAAACTAATCTGTGGCATTTTAAATTTCAAGGCAAAGGTATAGGATTAGGTGGGATTTGAGGCCTAAGAGGAGCAGAGTTGCTCAAAAATACTGCAAACAAACAGCAGAAATGCATTGTGAATTTGATCTTGTTATATTTGCATAAATGTGGTAAAAACAAGTTTACTGCGAGATCATAGTATCCTGTAGTGAAAAAACAATTAATGATGTCCTGTACAAAATGTTCACAATATTCTGTATGTGTGTGTGCTACTTCAGTTTAACATGAAACACCTGCATTTATGTTTCTAGATCAGATGATGCGTACCAGGCATGTGCTTCAAAGGGCTCATGGAGAGGGAAGACCTTGCTCGCCCCAGCTCTCACAGTATAAACCTTGCCCTATAAAGCCATGTTATAGCTGGGTGTTTAGTGAATGGTCGGCATGTGAAGTGGAGGTAAGAACACAACAACAACTTGCATTTATATAGCACCCTTCATGCGGGGTAGCATCCCGGAGCGCTTGAAATGTAAGACATACCTTTATTAGAATTCGTCTTGCTTATCTTTCTAATGATTGTTGCCTTTGCATAACATTAAATTCTTCTCTTTGTAGGTAGTGAGAAAAATATTGTCCTCTATTCTGAACAGTATTGTTTTAAAATACCTAAATAACTGAGATTCTAATCATAGATTATGTTAATACAGAAATATTGACCTTTCCTGGAAAAAAGTACCATCTAATTCAATTATTTTTAAGACTATTACATTTTGTCTTGGTACAGCAAGTGCAAAAAACATTGTTCCCCTAGGAATAGCTCTTATAAATGACAAACACCTGACAGGAAATGTACAGTACTGGCTGGTTGACGTGCAACTTTGTTGAACGTCATTGCTGAGATAGCGGAAACTTATTGTAAAAAGTGGTTAAGTCTTCCGGACGAATTCTTGTTGCTTTCTTTTTGAAGAGCTGGTTGTGTATTTACATCTTGTTTGCAGTAGGGAAGGAGTAATCTTCCATCTTCTTTATACTAATAAAACGACTTTGCCTGTCTGCACTTCAAGAAGGATCTCAATAACCGCTTGACATAGAGACTTGATTTATACCTCATCAGCAAGGTCTTGCATCTGGGAGTGATGTGAGCATATTGTTTTTCGGGTATCTCCTACCATTATTTTTAAGTTTTGCGTTTCTTGCTGTAGTTATACCTGGTGGCCATCGAGTCAAAGTGGTGTTGTGGCATCCTGCATCACACAGCATGCAGTTGCTAAGCGGCGAGAACAAAATAAAGAAAACAGACAAAGCTAAGCTGCGGCACAACAACAAAAGTTAATTTTTTAAAGTGTCGTCCTCCCACTGAATCCTCCCAAAAGGAGTCCTCCGCCAGGAGTCCTCCCAAATGAGAATAGATAAAGATGAAATGTCTGTCTGTGTGTCAATCTACATTCCATACTGGATCCTTTGGTTGCAAACGTAGTTGCAACAGGTACAGCTAGTAATTTATAATACCGTATTGTTTCATGTTGCATTTTCTAATTGTTTCCTTTTATGTTGGGGGATTTTGTGGTCTCCAATAGGTCTCCGATTCACTCAGCTAATAGAAGCCTGGCTCATTGTGATTTGTATCACATTGAATCTGTTATGAAACATTACATTGTCCAATCCCTAATATTAATAATTTCCATGATATCCAACTGGCTGCCGCATTCCGCCCATTGATTGGTGGATCGCTTTCTGTGGGGGTAATATTTCTTTCAAAAAATAATAATAATTTGATCACTTAATCCACAACTGCTTGTGGAACATTGCTGTGTGCTGCTATTGGCTGCCGTGTTTCGCCCACAAAATACAGTCAATTCACTTTACAATACATTCTGTGAAGCGCTTTGAGACTTTTCAAAGACATGATGAGGCGCTATATCAAATAGAAGAGTTCACTCCACCAGCTATGGCTTGCACGGTTAACAGGTGTGGGGTGAAAAGAATTCAGGCCCCCAGTGATCTAGTTTAAAAAATCAATTGGTCACTCAATCCATGACTGTTTGTGAGATGCTGCTGCGTTTTGCCCACAAAATATACAGTCAATTCACTTTACAGTATATTCTGTGAAGTGCTTTAAGGCGTCTTGAAGACATAATAATGTGCTATATCAAATGCAAGAATTATTATTGTTAGTATTACCTAGAGCATGAATCAGAAATCAAACAGCAGACCTTAATAGAACTAGTTACATTGAATAAAACCATATTATGTTATTTAGGCAATGATATTTTGATGTAAGGTTTAGATGGTGTACTTGTATTTAAGAATACAATATTATATGAAATGAGAAAACTTCGCTGATCCCATCACCTCCATGTACAATCTGTTCTACCATTGGCTGTTCCCAGCTCATATAATCTCTTGAGCAAAGGTTCGGTGAAATATCTCCCTGTTCCTCAAAGGTAATCAAGTAAAACTGCAGAGTATCAATTTGCCCTCATAGCCAACATTATTCAGGTTTGATAAGCTGCTTTCTGCAAATGGCACTTTCATGGTTCCAGCAACGCTTCAGCATTTGAACATTTTGATCAGCTCGGTTGATACATATTCTTAGAACTCAATTACTGCTCTAACTCAGAAGTTTATTCAGCCATTTTTTTAAAATAGGAGTTAATTGAAACAGTAAGCTGTCTTGCTGTCAAAATGAATGACTGGTTATTTTTCCTCCTGCTGAAGCGCTTAATTATTAATTAAGCATCTCAATCGTTACCTCAATTTTTTATCACAAATTCTGGTATTAAATCCAGAAGGTGTTGAGGCCCATTTGAACAAGGCATAAATATTGCCTGGGTTGATTGCAGGATTGTTCTTCAGAGGCGCATTAATAACACTGACAGCAGCAGCTGTACATCAATAACTGGGAACCAGGGCATGAAGAAAACAGTACCCATTCTAGATGGGAACAAATTATCATTCTTTCCAAAGTGCACTGCCTGAAGAGGTTTAGAATTGGTAAATGCATTCTCATTGACCTATGCCATAAATTACAGAGTGAGTCAGGCATTCGATCTGCAATTGCCATTGCTTTACCTGGAATTCTCAAGGTGATATCGACAATTAACTTCCTGGCTATTAGCTTCTTCCAAATAGAAGATTCTATTCCATGTTGCACAGAATAGGCCACTGAAGCCTTCTGTAAGATGGCACACATGTCTTATGTGTTTCCTAGAACAGGTTTATGGCATTCCTGAATTACTATATTTATAAAAAAAAGTATTTACAATAAATATGTATTGTATATAAAATCAATTGGCCTTCTGAAATGTGCTTTGGGTGTTAAGTCAAATTTGATGGTGTAGCTCAAAATTCTAAGGTGTAGCTCAAAATTCATATTCCTGTGCTATGGCTCCAAATTCTAAATCCTGAGTTAACTTTTACAGACTTCCAGACCTTTCCCTGGATCCTTATACATCCAAACTTTTGACGGCCTTTATTCTATTCTTTGTGCTGACTTCCACAATTTGTTTACATTATATAGCCTTAAATATTAGGAAGTGGCATGAATTGTTCCAAAAATATACTCCCAATGCTGGATTCAGCACTGCATTGTGTTTAAAGATCTTGTTGATAATGTCAGTATAACATTGTTGCAATGCATAATGGTTGTGGACCTCAGATATGTTGCCCAAAGTGTGGATTGTCCCACAAAATACAACATTGCATCCCTGATATATTCTGCTACTTTGGTGCGTCATAAGCATTGCATTATTATTAGGATAGAGCATTAGGTCAAGATCAAGTATGACATTTAATTATCTAATTTAAGGTTTTTCCAAATTTTTGCCCAGAATTATAGGACGCATACTTTCACAAGTTTAGTATTTACAATACTAAATCATACTGAATGGGTGCAGGCTATTTGTGTGTATTTCTAATGAGCAATTTCTCCACTGGAATAAGTGGATTACAATATCATTGATAGTCTATCTATATTGATGCTGCGTCACTTATGAGCTTATGAATTACAACTCTTATACTTGTGGAACAACAGTCATAACACATTTTAACAAGTGGACTAGTCTACCTTTATAGCTCTCGTGTGGCAAATTTAATTTTTTAAGGTTGGAATCATTCAGATACGTTTATAGACTTGACATTGTGCAGATAAATAATTGATATTTGATCATATATATATATATAATTTTGCACCGGTATAGCTAAGCATTTTTACAGGGTCACTGGTGTTCGATATAGATTTCCTATTGATTTCCATTCTGCCATCACTTCTGCTCTATTAAATAATTTGAAATCATAACACAATCACTTTAAATTGAAAAAAATCTTGCGTTTACCTGATTTAGCTGTTTCTCTGAAACTAATGTGCTGAACAAATTTTAAAATGTGATATGTCACGTAGATAATAACTTGATTAAACGTACCATCTAGTGGGCATCAAGTGAAGCGCAATTGACATATCAGAAGTAAGGTAAAGAAAGACCTTGCCTAAATGCCACAAAAGCAATTGCACTTGATGATGGTTGCAGAGCTGAGTATCAAATTAATCTTAAATACATTTCTGACTATTTCCAAGATATTATATTGATAATAATAATCTTTACATTTGATATAGCACCTTATCACATCTTGGAGAAGTCTCAAAGCACTTCACAGAATATACTGTAAAGTGAATTGACTGTATATTTTGTGGACGAAACTCCACAAAATACCTCATTGAGGTACAGATCAGCCATGATCTAATAGAATGGAGGAACAGGCTCGAGGGACTGAATGGCCTACATCTAGAAGATGTGAAAAGCACTGTATCAAATGCAAGGATTATTATTATTCTGTTCCTGAGTTCCTATATTGACTGTGTACTATCATAGAATCATAGAATATTACAACACAGATGGAGGCCATTTGGCCCATCATGCCCGTGCCTGCTCTTTGGAAGAACTACCACTCTCCTGATCTTCCCCAAATTTTTCGTTTTCAAGTACCTGTCCAATTGCCTTTTTGAAAGTTGTTATTGAATGGTCTGTTTGCACACCCTTTCAGGCAGTGCATTCCAGACCATAACAACTCTCTGTGTAAAAATATTTCTCCTTATCTCTGGTTATTTTGCCATTTATCTTAAATCTATGTCCCACCTGCCAGTGGAAACAGTTTCTCCCTATCTATTCTATCAAAACCCCTCATAATTTTGAATATCTCCATTAAATCTCCCCTTAATCTTCTCTGCTCTAAGGAGAACAATCCCATATCTCTAGTATCTCCGTACAACTAAAGTTCCTCATCCCTGGTACCATTCTGGTAAATCTACTCTGCACCCGCTCCAAGGTCTTGATATCCTTCCTAAAGTGTGATGCCCAGAATTGGACTCCAGCTGAGGCCTAACCAGTGACTTAAAAAGGTTTAGCATAACTTCCTTGTTTTTGTATTTTATGCCTCTATTTTTAAAGCCAAGGATCCCATATGCTTTTTTTAACAGCTTTGTCAACCTTTCCTGCCACCTTCAAAACTGTATCAATTTGTGTATATTGCCTCTCCTCATTCTTCCTCTAAAAATGCATCACCTCACACTTTCCTGCATTAAACTTCATCTGCCATGTGTCTGCCCATTTCTTCAGTCTATCTATGTCCTCTTGCAATCTGCTACCATCCTCCTCACTGTTTATTACGTTATTATTAAGAAATGATAATTTTGTGGTTCAGAAACTGTAAGAGAATGCCATGCTTCCCCTCCAGCTGTCCTTACCGCAAAACCCAATTGGAAAACTTACCCTCTACGTGACACAAAGGCTCTTTGGAAGTCCTGATTGATCATAAGCAGAATTATTTTTATTATCCTAAATACTGAGACCTCCTGTGTAGCCTCTGAGAAACCATTCAGTGACTGTGCAGCATTCTCACAATCTAATATAATTTGGAATATAATGGAGAGATAGGTTATCTGTGCGTACGTATTGGCAGATAAAGAGCAAACCTTGCTAATCTATAGCATTTTCCATTATCTACTTTCCTGCCCCCTTTTAATGCCTGTTAAAGCCTGATAGCAGCGATTTTGCATTTATGAGTGTTGACAGAAATTAGGGAGGTTGAAAGGTATTCTCAGTTTATGTTGCAGAGGGGCAGACAGACAAACAAAGTAAAACAAAGTTTGAGTAAAACAAAGAGAGGAAAATGGGGGTAGAAAGACCGGGTAAGGATTAGTCTCCTGTTAGTACTGTATTGGTATTGATAATGGAGTCCATGGGGAAGTCAATTATAGCCAGGAGACTAGAGGAATGTCTGTTAAAAGGTAAATGTAGGGAATGTGTATGTGTTTGGGGGGAAAGGTCAGTCTGTCTATGATTACAGTGGTGAGACATCACCTTGTTGACGAGTATCAACAAGATAATAATAATCCCTCCAAAAAAACCAAAAAACAATAATAAAAAAAAATTGGTCATTTTCAATCTACGACTGTTTGTGGGACATTGCTGTGCGCAATTGGCTGCCGCGTTCGCCCACAAATATACAGTCAATTCACTTTACAGTGTGTTCTGTGAAGCGCTTTGGGACGTCCTCCCGACGTGAAAAGCGCTATATCAAATGTAAGGATTATTATTATTATTATTAGAGAGGCATCTCCTTCTCTCACCCCCCGTCCTCCCCCCCCACTCTAGAACTGAAAGTAGAAGTGTGGTCATCAGCATTTTAAAGAAGGAAATAGTTTATAAATCTAAATTTACAATCTTTTAATCATACATTTTAACCACTCCCTTTTTTCCTACTTTTATTGTATTTTCCAATACGTGCAGAAAAGTATCACAATAATAATCCGGACAGGTATATAGCACCTCCCCTGCTCAAAGTCAAACTTTGCCATTCTTCAGCATGGAACGTTACCTGTGTGAGGGGTGATATTTAAATGTAAGTTGTTGTTATAGCATGTATAACATCAAGACTGCCTCAAGGTGCTTCACAAATTTTCTGTATAGTTAGTGGCTGTGTATTTTGTAAGCAAGCAATTGCAGCCAATTTGTGCACAGCAATGTCCCACAAATGGCCATGAAGTGAATGGGTTTAAAGTTCGAATGTGGAGCTTGAATAATAATCTTTGAATTTGTACTTGATGTAATGTGTTTCATGTTGGGAAGATATCACAAAGAGCTTCATAATAATAATTATCCTCATTTTTGATGTAGCGCCTTATCACGTCATCGAGATATCTCAAAGTTCTTCACAGGATATATTCTAAAGTGATGTGACTGTGTGTATTTTGTACATCCACAAACAGCGATGAAGTGATTGGCCAAATTTATCTGGAAGATTGTTGGCCAAGACACTGAGAGAAACTCCTTTCCCTTTTCAAATAGTGCCATGGGATCTTTAATGTCCACCTGAACAGGCAGACAGGACCTCGGTTTAACATTTCATATGAAGGAAGTACCTCCCACGTGTCCCCAGCACTGCATTGGAGTATCACCATAGATTATATGAGCTCTAAGTCTCCAAATCGGGCTTGAACCAACAACCTTTTTGACTCAAAGGCGACCAATAGAGCCAGGCTAACATACGATTCATTGTTAAAGTGAAGTGACAGTTGAACATGGCAGACAATTTGTACTTACCAATGTCCCACAGCCGTGAAGCAAATTACCCAATTTTATCTGGTGGATTGTTAGCCAGCACACCAGAGACAAACTCCCTTCTCTTTTTAAATTGCGCCATGGGATCTTTAACAGTTACCTGAACAGGCAAATAGAACTTCAATTTAAGTTTCATTCGAAGGACAGTATCTGTGATAATTCCGCACACCCACAATACTGTATTGGGGTGTCATCCAGACTGTGAGTTCAGAGCCTTGATATGGGCTTGAACCCATAACCTTCTGACTCAGAGGCGAGAGTGCTGCCAACCACCCACAATCTTGTGATTCTCAGGTGGGAGTGTTATCTACTAAGCATTATCCAAACTGCTACCTAAATTTTATTTAAAAAAGGAATCACAGCGTTGGAGCTCTGCAAAGAGCTGAAAAGTCTTTAACATTCAATAGGAAATGCACAATGAGGATTTACCTGTTTCAATTCCCACTGCCTTACTGTACATTGACAGTTTAATAAGATAGTGTTAATTTACCACTTTGTAGTACTTCAGAGAACAGATCATATTGGAAATTGTTTGCCACAAAGTGATACTTGTGTGAGAAACAGGTGATACTGAACAAAATAACAATTAGGTTTTCAAGTGAGGTCTTTAGTTCCAAATATTAGCATTGTTTCCAGCCACTATTATCACTTTTTGTGTGCTGGCTGATATCACTAAAAGTAGTATGTAAGCCATTTAAACAGCAATCTATGCTTCTTATACAAAATTTATTAAGGCATTGATATCAAACATGTTAATTAAAGATATATTCGTGCGAAACATTAATGCTCATTCCAATCAGTCAAAGAGTATGTACATGAACATTCAAGATATCATTTATATTTTAATTTGTTAAGACATCGGCAAAGTGCTTTTTTCAACCCAGCTTTGTGTTACTCATATGAATGGAATATTTAAGTGGATACAAATAAAGACTTGTACTATGAAAGTCTGGCCACAGTGTTGGATAAACATTTCCTCTAACCTTAGAAGTCCATGCCCCTATTCTTCCTCCTCACCCCCACTCAAATCCCACCTTAAAATTTACCTCTTCGACCATGCCTATGGTCACCATTCCTTCCCCACTCGAATCTCCTAGCTCACCTCTGCCACTGTGAAGTTCTCCGAGACATTATCCTATGTGAAGGGTGCTATATAAAAGTTGTTGTCGTTGTCCTTGCATTTCAACTTCTTGTTGGATAGTTCTCAGCTGTACTCCTGTGTTCTTAATTAAGGCTGTTTCAGAATAAGAAATTAAAAACGATCCCATGTATATTGATTTTTCCTCACCGCCTCTCACATTGTATCATTCATTCCAGGTTTGCTGTCACACACAGTTCATTTACCAGCAATTGCTGACTGGAATGAGAAATCAGTTGCCTGCAGGATATTGGTTTAAAGGATGCAGGTGTTTTTCCCTCAGCCCAGCATAGTGATGGAGAAAGACATAGCGAGATGGTGAAAATAAGTGTTCATTTTCAAAAGAACTGTCCAATTTGAAATGATCAGATTTGGTCAAAAGTCACTTACTGTATTTGTAAAGTAACACTAAAAGACAATGGATCACAGGGGTTTGAGATTGGATTTTGTAAATTGCTAGGAAAGAACTATGCATACCTAGATCTTCAAGAGATAAACAAGGCTTCACAGCAAGATGCACATTGATATGTACTTTATTTTTCAGGGTGCACAGTGTGGTGATGGCTTTAAGATGCGCAACCTGTCGTGTTTCATTCATGATGGGACACGCTCTGACACAGGCAGGGAAGTGGAGTACAAGTTGTGTGGAGATAGGCCGGTTGCAATAAAGGATAGTGAGTCGGAACTAAAGATCCACTGTTCTGTGCCTTGCCCAGGTAAATAAAGTTTAATGTTATTCAATACTACTGTTTACAATACTATAACTAATACTTAGTGAGGGATATAGAAATCATTGGACCTGTACTTTCTGGCATGTGCCTAGGGTGAGCATATTAGAAATTTGAAGGAGGGAATTTCTCCCCATTCCTGGTGAACAAGCCCCCAGCTAAACACAATTGTTTTTTTATTGCACATTGCTGTACATAAATTGGTTGTTGCATTTTCCTACAAATACAGGACCTCTATGAAGCACTTTGTTATTATTCAAGAATTATAATTCACGTACCACAGTAAACTTGTGTCCAAATTTCCTTCACCATTTAAAAATCCAGTAGATTACTTAAATTTACCAAGTAACCATTTGGAAGCTGTAAAGTACAGCAACCTGATTTATTAATGAAAATATGAGCATGGAAACAACTGATAGGACCACCACCATCACAATATTAAATAGCATAAAAAATGCTAAAAGGGGGATTATATTTTCTAAAGGGTGAATTTTGCAATCTGACAGTTATTGTGATGATTGTGGGCAACAGACTGTCAATGTTTACTGCTTGGTTAAGATGTTATGAATATTATCCTGTCTTGTACAGAACAAACATTGGTAATGGAAAACCCCTTTTAACAGGTTTGGTGTTAAGCGTAGAGGGGAATTTTTGGAACAGCAACCATTGGGTTATATAGAAATCCTTCAAATCATTCAGTATCATTTTACAATTTATTTAAAGTTTTGGTTACTTTATTTTATTTTGGCTTCTACATTTAATGGCAGGATTCCTCTTCAAAGATTTTAATGTTTGATCAGATTCCTTAAGGTGGAATTTACACTGGAAAATTATGTAAAACAAGTATGAGTCCAGATTTTCTTTGTAACAATGTCTATAGTGTCTATTGTCTATAGTGTTTGTTTGAAATTTTTGTCTGCCGTTTGCTCCTACACATGTCTTACACTCTGCAAGCTTAACCTGCAATGAGAGTTTGCTTCCTTGAAAAGAAATGAGAATGACCAGACTTTACTGGGTTACTGTGCTAGGCCTGCCCTTTGCTTTGCCCCTTCTTAGTAAACAGTATCCAAGCAAAAGATGGTGTGCAGCACATACCCCAGATATTAATAAGAACAATTGGTACCAATGTCCCATCTATCTTCCAATCAATAACTTCAAGATCCTCTCTTGAACTGTGCGAAACCACAATAACAGACTTGGGAGTGCCCACCATCATTGGTTGTAATGATTCGCCATCAAAGAGGTGGCATTTGGTAAATGGAGATGGTCCAAGTGTCTGACTGACAGGAGTCTATTATACACCTTGTGTAAACCTTGGGTAAGGATATGTGGCCAAAGTGAATTATAGGAATTATTAAAACTAAATAAACAATCAATCAAAACAATTTGTTAATTATGTAATTAACTCCCAATCATTGGTTAGTTGAATCATTGAGGTCATTGGTATTTTCTGCTGTAGACTACATAGCATACAATAATAATAATAATAATCCTTGCATTTGATATAGCACTTTCCACGTCTTCTAGACGTCTCAAAGAGCTTCACAGAATAGCCTGTATATTTGTGGGAGAAACGCGACAGCCAATTGCGCACAGCAGTGTCCCTCAATCCCCGTGGATTGAAATGACCAATTTTTTTTTTGAGGGATTATTATCAGGCAGTTTACAAATAATTGATTTGCATTTGCATATGATTTACACACGATGAATAATATTTGTACATATTTTGAAAAAGACAGCAGAGAGTGAATCAATTGGAATTTAAGATTTGTATTTTATTTAAAAATGTCCAAATGCCATGAAAAACAAATGGGTGTGCACCATAAAGCTTTCTAGTTGAAAGAAACCTCCTGAAATGGTACTTTCCAAGTCCCCACATATTTTGTTTCAACTTTTGAACTCTCCGTGAAGGATTTATATCTGATCTAAGTTTACTGATTCAAAACTTCCCCTTCTTACAGTTGATCACCCGGTGAAAGGGGTGTTTCCACTTCTGAAAGGGGATATGTAAGAACTTAACAGAGTTTCCAAACTTAGTAAACATTATCAGACAGTTGATCACAATCATTATACAAACTGATAAAATGGAAAGGCTGTGCAATGGCAGTTGTTGTGGTGGTGTTTAAAGCAGTTTTTTTTATCAGCCTTTGTACTACAGTACTTTGAACTGCAATGGTATTACAGTCCTTAATTCATTTGCAGAAATAGTTCAGAAAATTGCACATTATGTCTCAAAATAGTTGGTGAATTTAGACCACACTCTAGAATTAATTTTGAACACAACTGGAATTCTTTCCACACTACATAAAATCCTTGGATTTTCTTTCACATGTCCAAATAAAGTAGAGAACAGAGGAAGGTATTTTCCTTGGTGAAACACAGGGAGAGTGTCTACCTTTGTGTTATATAGTGCCCTGGGAGAAGCTTGCCAAACAGAGCTCACCAAGCCATGTAGTTTTAGCTGGTTAAACTCCAGCAGCACACACCAACGCACACACTGTGTCCCCCAAGCCGAGGCTCTCGCCAACCTGCACCTAATACTTTTAGAAATGATGTAAGCAGGGTAATTCCCTCCAGGGAGAGAGGGTACATTCCATTCCAGACACGGACATTTCAATATGTAGGTGGATACATTTAAAAGCATAGTGATGAGTTTCTGCATACGTCACACCCTGGCTGACCCACAATAGCGAAATAGTAATGTTATATATAATACTATAATAATCCTTGCATTTGATATAACGTCTTTCAGATCATTGAGATGACTCAAGGCCCTTCACAGGATTGACTCTGTATTTTGTAATTGAAATTTGTGTTGAACTAATTGCATCAGCTAACCCCCTCCTAGACATTTGAATATTTCAAACTTTTACCGGGAACAGTAGAAAATACAAATTGATAGGTAGGTATGTGTGTTTACAAGTGTCAGTAAACCTAGTAGTCTGCAAAATGGGAAATCCAGGCTCAAACACTGAAAATATGACTATAATTCATTGTCGAACCTCAACTATTTTAAATGTGAAGCACAAACTGAACTATCATCTTGATATCTCTTTATTTATTTGCTCACTTAAATCTAGGCAGACAGACATCAGCATTCATTTAAAATTACACCGTGCACAGCTGAGAACAGATATCACATACTGTAATTTCAATGTAAAAGCTAATCATTAAACAAGTAGCCAAATGAATGCTCAACATGAGTAATCATTATCCATTTACTGTTCTTTTTGAATGATTTCTACATCTAACTTCTAACTCCTCAGGTGACTGTCACCTTACTGAGTGGTCGACATGGAGTTCCTGTCAGCTAATCTGTCTGGACGGAAAGCGATTTGAAGCGACTGGTCACCAAACCCATTCTAGAGCTGTAATCGTTCAGGCTCTGGAAAACCAGGACAACTGTCCACAGCAAATCTGGGAGGAGAGGCCATGTGCAGGTCAGAACAAATGAAAAACATTCACTTTGACTTTACATTATTGTAAAGTCACAGATGCCAAATGCACCATGAACATGTTGTTGTGAAACAAACTGCAAAATCTATGGATTGGGATGAACATTAAAAATAAAAATCCGATTTTATATATTGTGTTAAAAATTGTAAATGGAGGAGTTGAGGGTGAACCTTGCTCCAGATTTGGAGCCCAAAGAGTTTGTTAAACCAGTTAATCTGAATAATAATTTACCTTCTCTGCAAAGACACATGCCCTTTGCACCTTTTCCCATCAAGCTGGATGTTTTAACATTCAATGTAAAATATATCCCTATAAATATCAAAATCTCTGATCTTATAGGAAAGTCTGCACTTTTCATTACTCAGTCCTCCCTAATGAGAACATAAGAACATAAGAATATAAGAATTAGGAGCAGGAGTAGGCCATTCGGCCCCTAAGGTATCCCTTGCTCCAGGGAGCTGGTCTGACGATATAGGTTAGTGGTACAGTTGGAGTTGTCTTTTTTTTTCCGACTCCAGTGAATTTAGTGGAGTTATTATGTTTCCTATTAGATTCAAAGTAAAAGATATGTAATGGAAAGGTAATTTGCTTCATTCATATGAGATTGTGGTTGTGACCAGTTTGTGCAATGCAGGAAATCTAAAGATAACCTGTTATTTTAGTAATTTACTTACCTGCATTAGGTTTAGTTCTGAACATAGAAAATGGTGAATCATTTAAGATCAATTGACCTTAAAAGGATCTCCAATCAAAATTTAACTCATACGAGCAGAGACAATTTGTGAGCTCTTGATTAGAGAGCAGGCTGTTAAAAACGTACATTAGCAATATTTCTGATTTGATTTACTGTTTTAAACAGGCAGATACCTTATGCTCTTAATAAGAGCATATGAACATAAGAATTAGGAGCAGGAGTAGGCCATTCGGCCCCTCGAGCCTGCCCCGCCATTTGATAAGATCATGGCTGATCTTCAGACCTAACTCTAATTACCTGCCCTATCCCCATATCCCCTAATCCTTCTATTTTTTAAAAAATCAATCAGTCTCAGCCTTGAAGATGTTCAAGGACTGAGCATCTACAGCCTTATGGGGTAGTGAATTCCATAAGTTCACTATCCTCTGAGTGAAGAAATGTTTCCTCAACTCTGTTCTAAAAGGCTGACCCTTAATTTTAAGACTGTGACCCCTGGTTATAGATTCTCCTACCAGGGGAGCAGACCCTCAGTGTCTACTTTATCAGCCCTTTAAGAATCTTATAAGTTTCAATAAGATCTCCCCTAATTCTTCTGTACTCTGGAGAATACAGCCCCAGTTTATTCAGTCTATCCTCATAGGTCAGTCCCCTCATCCCAGGAACTAACCGAGTGAATCTACACTGCACCCCCTCCAGGGCAAGTATGTCCTTTTTTAAATAAGGAGACCAAAACTGTTATTTTATAATAACTTTTATAATAACAGAATAATAGTATTCCTTTATGATCGTGCTTACAGTCACTTCCCCCCTCTTTCTCCCCTGGCTTATTGTCAGACTCCACCACTGTGAAGCTCTCTGGGATGCTATCACGGGGAAGGACACTATCTAAATGCAAATTGTTGTTGTTGCAAGGAAAAATTGAAAAGTATTGAAACATTTTGTGAGGCTAGGAAAGCTGAAAAATTCTTTGTTGCTTTGAATTGTCACTGCCAGTAAATAATATAAGTAAATTATTAACTTAAGAATAAACTTTTTTTTAATCAAAGTTGATTTATGAATTGTAACAATGTGGGATTCAGAGTGATGTAATAAGGTGTAGTGTAGTGTAGGGGCAGCAGAATAAAGTTATATTAGCAGGTCAGATTGCCCTCAAAACAGGAGCGTGGATTTATTCTGAAAGGGAATGGAGTAGCATGCAGGCGAGATGTTTTTCTCTGCTAAACTAGTTTTCTAAGATGGTCCGTTTCACTGTAGCACAAACTTTTACTTCACCTTTGGCGCCAATGCCACACCGAGATTTTCAGCATGCTTTTTCCCAATGATAGTTTTAGCCTAGTTTGGGTCATCGCTTTCTGTGGGCAATAATTCCTTCAACTTTTATTTTAAAAAATTATTAATTTGGTCACTCAATCCACAAATGTTTTGGGACACTGCTGTATGCAATTGGCTGTCACATTTCACCCCCAAAATATATAGTCAATTCACTTTAGTACATTCTGTGAAATGCTTTTAAGGTATCTCGATGACATTGTAAGGCACTATATCAAATGCGAGGATTATTATTACAATTGATAAAAGTGAGACTGATAACAAACACTCTTGTACCTGGGAAAGTCAAATATGGGAAAAAAATCAATCTCTATGTGTCCATTTCAATGTGTTTTTTCTACCATCCATCTTTCCATAACAATATATAGGTGTGCCACAGTAGCCTTCTGTTTGCATTGTTCCACAAGTACTCCACCTGGTAAACAAACCTCTGGGTTAAACTGAAAGAAACACAGACAACAAGTCATGTAAGAGTTATGTCAGAGCTGGGAAATTCCAACTCGCCAAGAGGTGCTGGGCTGCTCTGACTTAGGTACTTTCCAACTTGGGTTCACTGAAAAACAAAACTTCAGAAAAATTACTATATCTAGAGTTTTGCCTGCATTGTGTTATCTAGTTGTATAATTTATATTATTAATCTGGTTATTCAATGTAGAACTGATATTGATATCCAGTAATAAATAGTTACATGATAGGATAATACAGTGTAATGCTTCATCTGTAATTGAAACCAATGTACCATTTTAGAGACCATTGAATACCGGGTTTTCAGCCTCTCTGCTCCCACACTCTGGAACTCCATCCCATAGTCCCTTCACCTCGCTTCCTCCCTTGCCTCCTTCAAGGCCGGTCTCAAGAGCCTCCTCTACGAACGTGCCTTCAGTCACCCTCCCACCTCTATGCCTCTATAAATGTAATTTTGTTGTTGTTCCCAAATGCACAAAATTGATAGATTTTTTTCATTTCAATTCATACTTGATATTTAATTTGCCGTGTATTTTTCTGCCTTGAACTATAATAATTACTCAATATTGACATGTTTTTACATGTTGACCTGCATTTGGAGTGCAGATGCCATAACACGTTTCTATGTGATTGTTACCACTATGAGCATATGAGTTTTGCATACAACAAAAGTGTCAAGAAACAAGTAGCACATTACAGATTTTTTCCTATTTGAACCTGACACAACGATAACAAACCCAAGAACAATGTGTGTCAATTTGCAGGCAAATAGCATTGTATTTTATGCGTGGTTTAAAATAATTTGTAAACCTTTGAAAATAATGAAAAAGGTTACTTCTAATTAAAAGGAAAATTTTGTATTCCTTCCAATGCCCTCTGAAAGTATGTGTAGTATGAAGGAAATTGGCCATTTGCCATATTGAAAACAGATAAGTCTCTGCTTCTCCTTCATTTCACATGGAGGAAAAAATTTCACACTCTATTTGTGTTGCACCATTAGTGTTGAATCAAGACTGAAATTAGGAGCATTGATATGATTCTTGGATGCTTTCAAAACTACCTGAGGAGGTTGTTTCTCGAATCGAATTGATCCATCTGCTACAGTACAACTCAGTTTGAGATGCATCAGATTTCAAAAGAACTATTTCAACTTTAAAAATAAGTGTTTTTCTTGAGGTCAATAATGAACCAGTCATATGACCGGGCTCTTTAAAACACTGAAAAAATAAGCAAAGTTTGCAGCAGTTTTAAAGTGCTCTGAGTATAAGTTTAGTTGTGTATGTGCAGAGTTTTTCTCAGTCTCTGACAAGAGTAATTTTGGAATGAGAAATCTAATTCAGTTTCCTTCTTCTAAATACTAATTTAAATTCGCTTATTTTTCGCCTGTTGTGAAGTATTGTATTTAAAAAAGATAATGTCAGCAAATTCAGAGCCCTCTTTAAAATCCTCAAATTTCATTACTTCGGCTCTAATGAAGCCGTTAGAAATGAATTGTAGCCAGTTAATGGTGCCTTTTCTGTACAGAGTTAAGATAGCAATAATCAAATGAGATCAATGGTGTCATTAATCTACTTCATTTAAAATAAAAAGCTTGGTGTTGGTAAGGCATTGCAGTAGAGTTAGGAAACAATCATATTTCGGTTTCACTCCAAATTGGAATATTTATATCAGGAAAAAAATGGATTGTTAGTAAGCAGTTAGTGGAACAAACATTAAAAATAAACTGGAGGGATAGAAGAAGAGTGCCTCCTTCACTTACAATTGGGTCAGCGACAGAGCAATGTGAAGTTAGTAGTGAAGTTGCACGCTGTCAACTCGCATCATTTTGCTACAAAGTACTGTGTCAATACAGTTAATGTAACTGGACCATCAAAAAGCAAACATCTTCACCATAGAAGAAGTAAAATTGAACCGTATCAGCTTCTGACCAGCAGGTGAAAATAATAATATTATTAAAAATAATTAAAAATTACTATAAGGAGATGATTGCTAGAGAGAACCTCCCTTTCCTATACCTCAGACTCACCGAACTGGTGCACAAGCTCGGAGTCTGGTTCGACCCACAGCTGTCCATCCTTCCCCACATCTGGTCCCTGACCAGGACCACTTTCCTTCACATGTCACATTCTAGCCAGGCTCCACTGGCTCCATAACACCGAATGGATCAATTTCAAGATTCGCATTCTCGTCTTCAAATCCTTTCATGCCACGGCACCTTCCTACCTCTCCAACCTGCTTACTGCCCAACCCACTACCTGCTGTCTCAGCTCGACTGTCTCCGGCCTCCTGCATATCCCTAGTGGCCTCCATTCCACCATTGGTGGCCGCACCTTCAGCCACTATGCTCCGAACCTCTGGAACACTCTTCCTCTTGCTCCATCTTGCTCCTTTCTTCCCCATCTTCACGTCACGCCTGAAGACCTCTGGGACGTTACCATGCATGTTGTGGTTGAGAAAATAAAGTTAACAGTGGTAACTTTGTAATTAAAATATTCCTATGCTACTCTATTGGGAATACAGTAATTACTTTAAATCTGCCTCAGCCTAACTTATATTGTCCTGTACATGTTTGGATGTTAATTCAAATTTGGTTAGTACCATTGTAGAGCTGGAGAATGAAAGCTAGAAACTGGAAATGTAAAGAAATTTGAATATCCTTTCCCACAAAGGTCATGCTAACTGCAAACTTATAGAAGTGAACAGATCCATTAGATTTACTCACTGTTACTAACAATAGCTGTACTTTGAGATTACATTTGTAATCGCACAAGGCAATTATTAGTTGGTTGGTTGTAATTTGGGAACAATGACATCCAAATCAGTTGCCTCTTCCCTTGCCTCCTTCAAGGCCCGTTTCAAGACTCTCTTTGACCATGCCTTCAATCATCCTCTCACCTCCACCCCTCTTGATTCCAATCCCCAGCTCGGGTGCAAGCCCTTGACTGTCCAACTCCTTGGGGTGTCCTCCTGACATGCGTTGTTGTTCTACGTCTTCTTGCAGATGGAAAATGTCAAGAGTATGAATGGAGATCGAGCCCCTGGATTGGCAATGAACGGAATGTGTGGTGTGTGCGTTCAGATGGTGTAAATGTGACAGGTAATCTACCACAGAAATTTATTTGTGTGCGCAGGAGATCATTTTAATGAAATAATATATTAACCATTAAATAATCACGGTTACAAATCTGTTCATATTTCATTTTAATAATTATTCACTTTTTCACCAATGTTCATTGCAGTTATTTTTTAAAAAATACAATTACGCCTGATGTGTTGGACACGCTTGTATTATTTTTCAGTTACATTGAACCTCAATTGTTGCAAAGCAAAAAAGAGTTAAAGGAACCTGGCTTCTTTATTTTCAAATGTGTCTATTTGTCATTTATTTTACAACAGTGCTTTAGGTTCTGGAAAGCCAGGTTAGTGCATTGAGGCTGTGGTCTTGGCCCTGCAGATTCTGGCTGTATGATTGAAACATAGAAATATAGAAACATAGGAATAGGAGTAGGCTATTCAGGGCCTCGAGACTGTTCCACCATTTTATAAGATTATGGCTGATCTGTACCTCAAGTCCAGTTATCTGCCCTTGCCCTATATCCCTTAATACTCTGACCTAACATATATCTATTTACCTCCATCTTAAAAATGTGATTAGCTGGAACTCAAAGGTGAAGGATGTACTGTAAGTGTCTGAATAGATAAACAGCCCAATTTATAAAATTAACCTTCACTATGGAATGAAGTTAAGAACATTTCTTAACATAAAGGCTTTCTTTGTACTTATGTATATGTCATGCAAAATGTATGCTGCAAAGCAAGGTGCTTTAAATGAGAATGCTATTGTGTTAAAAAAAATTAAACGGTTAGTTATTATATTTATAATTTACGTTTCTAAAAGCGATATAGTGATTACTCTTTCAAAATTTGCAATTTGAGCATGATATTGATATTCCAGTAGAGCCTTGTTTATAATGCGATTTTTGGTGTTTCTAAGATAATATTTCACCTTTTAATGAAACTGGAATAGGTGGTTTCACAGCTGCCTGGTGTGCTTCCTGCTTTCTGAATAGTTCTGCGCTAAAAAAGTAGGCCAATTACTGCGTATTGAGTTCATTATTGACCTTGTATTTCTGAGTGCCGCGCATGCTCAAAGCAGGGCGTAACATGACTTGATGACCTAGTACCCCAAGTAATGATATAGATGTGTTGATAGGTTTCCAGAAGTAGAAAGGTTCGTCCGAAATATGTTGGTAAATGTTGAGCTGAATTATGCACAGTAAGATTCAACGTTTCAGATTAGACTCATGGGCAAAGGCCAAGGGGTTTCCTTTGATGAAATTTAGCTAAAATTATGGTAATCTCTTGGTCCCTGAAATCACCATTTTACTCAGACTATTTTATATAGGCTAAAACGGGCCATATATTCACCACAGTGCACTGCAGCGAATGAAGTCCACACCTGCACCACATTATAACTGAATCAATGCGGTAAAGAAGTGTGTTATAACACGGCTGCACTATTAACAAGAACTGTTAGAATATAAAAGCATAAATGTTTAATGTATCTCACATCTCTGGCGCGAGAAGTGAACCTGAAGAATTTCCGTTGTTTTTGTTAACTTCAGGTGGATGCTCTTCTCTGAGCCAGCCAGCTGCAACCAGACACTGCCACCCTCCCTGCACTAAACCATACTCCTATTGTACCCAGGTAAGTGATACTATCCAATAAGGAGCAAAAACCTTGTTCACTGTAATTACTTGACATTCACCAGTTATTGATGAGCTTAAAAAGGTACAATGAAGAATATTGATTCTTCTTACTAAATTTCTTCCGGTATAAATGCTGATGCTCTGATTTTTAAATATCTTCTATTAAATGTGATCGATTTTCTTGCAAAGTAACCTGCCATCCATTCCTGATCAACTAACTGTATTTATAGTCTGAGCAAGGAATAAATGTGAACCGATTCATCAGCAATTGATGCAATGCTGTAGATTCATGTTGCATTTGTCAATTGGTTGGCTCAATTGATGAGGCTCTTGCCTTCCAGGTAGAAGATTGCGAGGATATGGCACATATCAGATTAATCCTCACACTATTGCAGAACATAAAGAGGATACTGCAGTTCTGTTGGAGTTGTCCTGTGAATGTGATGTTGAACAACACTGTCTGTTCAACCCCAAACTCCTCTAGTTTGGATTACCAGTCAGTTGTGTGAAACATTTTCAGCTTTCCCACCCATCCCCATCCCCCCCCACCAATGTCAGGAGATGTAGCAAAATGTTTCACACAGCTGATATCGTTTGGGAGTTGAAAGATGTGTATTGCTTTAGTAAATAACAAAATGACATTGCGATTGATTTCAGGGATTAAGACATTACCATCATTTTAGCTCAATTTTGTCACAGGAAATCCCTTTTGCCCTTTGCCCAGGAGTCTAATCTGAAATGTTGAATCTTACTGTTAATTCAGCTCAATATCTATCAACATATTTCAGACGAGCCTTTCTACTTCTGGGAACCTATCGACACATCTATATCGTTACTCGGGTAGCAGAGTGCTTTTTATTAATTCAAGGCACCTTTCAACAAAGTGCACTTTGCACTGTTCATCACACACCCACTCTGATACAAGCCTAAAGTCACCCAGTGAGGTAGGAAGGTCCTATTCCTAATTAAATAATGCAAATTATCCTTGAATAGAAATAATTTATTGGATGATCTCTGTTCTTATATGAGAACTGTAAAATAATAGAGTTGGAGGAAATTCTCTCCAATTCTAAGTTCCTTTCCTATTTCTGATTGCAATAACTCCAACTTGACTCCACACTCGTATCTACTGCTGTGTGATGTTTTATACTGGTCAGTGGCAATAGTTTTCCTATGTTGCTCAACTTGGTCCTGTGATTGTACTATTGTGGCAGTTACAAGAATTACAATGAGCCAAAGGACTGCCTTCTAAATGATAAATTTCTATTAGAGCCAAATTTCCAGATGTGGGGATTCATAATGTATTCTTACTAATTAAATTAATTGCCTTTGAACAGCAAAGTACCATGATAAAGAGTACCCAGAAGAGAGTATCTTGGAGAATGCACAATATGTTGTGGTCCTTCCAAAGGCAGGAGGTGTGGGGTGGGTGGGCATTGCTGGAAAGTTTAACAAGGAAGCATTGAGAACGCCAGAAATGGTTCTGCAAAACACCAAACACCAATTGGTGGAGCAAACTAAACGGTAGAAACAGGATATCCATCTTAGATCTGTAAATTCAAATACAGTTCTTTGCTGTTAAGGTTCACTGTTTTCAGTCCAATTTTGATTAGTAACTTTGCAAGTCTGCAGCAAGTCAAACACTTTTAAGCCAATTTCAACCTACACGTGTGTTTAGTGCCATCTAGTGGTATTACAATGTCAATGTAAGGTGTGTCACACCTTATGGCTGATGTGATACTTCCTTGAATTATCAGCGCATGAATTTTCGCAAAATTCTCTGTTAATTGTAATCACTTAAGGGATCACTTTTTTTTTAAAAAAGATAATGGGTCCAGCTTAGCATTAACCTGGAGCAGGGATACATATTATTAATGACTGTATTTCACTGAAACCTATTGTGGAAAAGACGGATCTGTGCAATTCTTATGAATACTCCAGAGCCTTTCACAGAGCATAATTATCAAAGATCCATGTACTGTACAGAATTATAGTGGTGGTGGAGGTTAAATATGATAAAACCTATAGTTTACTGGAATGATCAAGGCTTTGTAGAATATATTTTTTCTGAATGTTCCTGTTTGGTGCTGTAAGTGTTCAGGACTGATTACTTATTATGCTTAATATGCTGCTGTTTGAGACTATTATGAACTTATATGCCCTTTAATTGCTTGTCGTGTTTAATAAACTTCTGATAGCTGAAATTAAATCATACGCTTTATGATTGCTGGCCATCTTTAATATACAATTGTGTCCTCAGGGTGGTGTGTGCGGCTGTGAAACAGGTTATCTGGAAGTAATGACCCCTTATGGGTTCCTTGACTACTGCACTAAAATTCCAGGACCCGAAGAGAAAAGGGCGGATGTGAAAACTAGTGCAGGGAAGAACAAGGCTGGGAATTCGAAGATCCAGGAGTTTTTTAAAGGATGGTCTATTGATCCTTTTGATCTTGGTAAGTGTTCCGATGAAGATCCATCGTTGAATTGCATTGTAGAAAAAATTGCTCTGCTATGGACAGTAAAGACATGAGAAAAAGCCAAATGGCCATCAAGCCCATCAAACCCATTCCTGCCTCAGACCACACAAAACATATACTATCACAGATGTTACCCTAACCCATTCTGGTTGAGGGAATTTTTGGAATAGATACACCTTGCACCCCAAAGGTAATGAAGCACAAGTTGGGTTGGGTCTTTGCTTCTCATATCTATAACTCTGAGGAAAAATCTAATCCCTCAAAAAAATCTTGATTTTGATCCTGTGGACTCCAGTTTTACTCTCATGGCCAAAGTCACATCTTAGTAACATAATGAAGCAGATCCACTGTTATTGAAGCAGATTTTTTTAAAAAGGAAATTAGATATTCGCAGGAAAAACAATATAGGGAGAAGGCCGGAGAATGAGATTAGACGGGAATGGAGAAAAACCCGAGCTCAGACTTAATGTGCTGAACAGATTATTTTCTGTGCTATTTCTAAGGCATCGCTAGGATTGGCATCCCTTTTTGGGAGTGCAATAAGAATGAGGTTCCCTCAAAAGTAGAGATTGTTAGACTTGCTCAACACAGCAGGAACCACGTTTAATAAATTACTGTCATCTGTGGAATGATTTTCACTGTGAACTGGAAATGCTGTTAAAAAATCTGTGCAGTTACATTTAACATTTACAACTTAGACTGTTCAAGGATGCTGAGTAAATGCTACAACTCATTTCGGCCATTCTTGGTGATTTTGTGGGAAAACAAATGGCTAGAAAATAGTGCCAGATTTCTAAGGAAATGTCCTGGGGTGTTTGAAAATGCAGTTTGTGTGCCTTTGTCAAAAAGGCATGAATTCTGTATGTTTTAAGAAGACATTTACAAATCACTCACGCAGTGCATTGGTATTTATGATTGTGAAAATATTCAGAAAATTAGGCCATCAGCCTGCGTTTCTCAGTCTCAGTATCCTGTATCCACAGAATATAATACATGCGGACCACAACTCCCATTTTTTACCCTGAGTTGCTAAACCTGTCTCTGTACTGATATATTTTGCATTGAAACAGTTTGCATGAAGACATAAGAAATGTTGTTGTCTAAGCAATATATTTATTACAGATAGTTTAAAGCCAGCCCAGGCAATCCAGCTAAATAGACGCACTATATCTTCTATCAACGGAGCTGGCAGCATGCATTTTTCTTTCTGACATTCAATTGGTACTTTATTTAAACCATAATGTTTGAACTTTAAAATAGTGAATAAATTCTTTAACTTTTACTGCCAAATGCATGCTGATCACACTCTGTTAGTTAAATTGCTCTACCAAGCTGCTAGCCAAGGACATCTCAGTTAAAGCGATTGTGGAAAAAATAATTTAAGTATGTTAGGTTGGGGACTCACTTCAAGTAAGTCAGATGTTGTTAGAATAATAATTTACCCACAGAACTAGTCTTGTGTGTACTTTTACTTGATGCGGACAAAGTATGTTTTCAGGATTATGCCTAAGATTATGTTGGTTCATAAATATATGTTTCAATTACATTTTCATATATATTTCATTTAGCTCAACCAGTTAACTGCTTCAGGAGGCACGAGGCAGCACACAGTTGCATTTCCCAATATATTTCTTGACATTTTTTTCAATTAATCCCCTTGAAAGTAATAGGTCTCAATGTTTAGTGAATCCCATTTTGACATTTGCCGCCTTTTTTTGTTCCACACACTGCTAATAAGGGAAAGTGATTAATGATTATTAAGGGCCTTTCCCTAAATCACTTTCACTGTGAAGCCACATATGTTGCTCAATTTCCGCGTCATTAGGTAATACAATACAATTTCATCACTGGAAACTGCTCCCACTGCTGGATTCTGATAAAGCCGTACAAATGAGCAAAAAATCAGACACTTATTGGCAAGCAATTAATGAGGATGAAGATATTAATTTGAAAGCAGTACAGTACTGCATTTGCAAAGGATTAACAGAAAAGAATATGCTTCAATGTCTCTCAAGGCAAATTTTCCTCATAACTAATGTGAAGTGCAAGTTTGAACAGTGGCACAGTATCTTCTTTAGCCTTTGCTGCCCTCTTCCTTCATCGCACTTTCTGAGCCCCCATGTTTTGTTTCTCTGCCAACTTTGCCCATTTCCCTTTAAACAACCATCTCACTCTCACTGTTCTAACCATACCTATCTTCCCATTATTTCTTCTAAGTCACTTTTTCCCTTCCTTCCATTCCATTCCTTCTTGGTGACATCATCCAAAGACATGGGATCAACTTCCACATGTATGCAGATGACGCCAAACTCTATCTCTCTGCCTCCAACCTCGACCCTAGGACCACTGCTGTCTGACAGAATGTCTGTCAGACATCAAGTCCTGGATGAGAGCTAACTTTCTACAGTTGAACATCAGGAAGACCGAGGTTCTTCTGATTGGCTCACGCCAACGTCTCCTCACCTCAGGCACTGGCAGCATCAGCATCCATGGATGCACATTCCACCTCACGAAGCCAGTTAGTCACCTGGGAGTCTTGTTTGAACCTCAACTGTCCTTTTTCCCCCACATCTGTGCAATGACCACTCTGCTTCCCCCACCTCTGCAACATCGCCCAACTCCGCCACTGTCTCACCCCTCAGGTCGCTGAAACCCTCATAAATACCTCCCATTACAACCAGGCTTGACTATGTCAACTCTCCCCTTGTTGCTCTTCCCAACTCTTCCATCCACAAGCTGCAGATCATCTAGAACTCTGCATCTTGTATCCTCTCCTGCACCAGGCTCCATGACCCCATCACACCCGCCTGCGCCCGGCTCCACTGGCTCCCCATTCCTCAGAGGATAGAGTTCAGAATTCTCATCCTCACCTTCAAGATCCTCCATGGCCTTGCCACCTCCTATCTCTCTGATTTGCTAACCCCTTATCAACCTGTCCGGTCCTTCCGCTCAGCAGACTCCAGCCTGCTCCATGTCCCTCACAGGGCCCGCACTACCATTGGCCTTCAGGCTCTCTGCCCCCCACCCTCTGGTACTCCTTCCCACATTCCCTTCGCCTTGCTCCCTCACTTGCCTCCTTCAAGGCATACCTCAAGATCCTCCTCTTTGACCATTGCTTTGGCTACCCTCTCTCTCCTCCACTCTCTCTGATCCCAACCCCCTCCCACCCCACCCCCCGCCCTCGAGGCCTAATCCCTGATTGTCCAGCGCCTTGGGATGTCCTCCCAATATGAAAGGTGCTTTACAAATGTAATCTTATATTGTGTTGTATTCCCGCCCCCTCCCCCACCCCTCGTATATACACTCTCTCTCAGATTCTGCACCCTGCGTGAAGTGGGCGGGTGAAGATAGCGGTATTTTTCTTTTTTAACCGGCCATTTAGGAAAAATACCTCTGTGCCTGTGAGAAACTGACTTGGTCGAAACCCTGACGGAAAGCAGAAGTGAGAAATTTTCCTCCATCATTCAAGTCTGTGTTGATGTCAAGGCCTCAGGAGACAAACTGATGATTTCCTGTCTCCATTGCATCACCCAGATCCCCATTTAAAATAAACTTTAAGAAAAATTATAATTGACTCGAAATTCTGTCAGAAACAAAAGACTTGTCCAACAGCTGTGAGAAATGCCAGTCCCAGCCGAACAACTGGTATTTGTGATGAGAGTAGAATATTACAGCTCTTTAGTCATGTTACTGGTTACAATTGCTCATTTTCACCCAAACTTCTGGGTAATTAAAGTTCTGCAGCTGGTGTATAAATATAATAATCATTGCATTTGATATAGGGACTTATCACGTCTTTGAGACGTCTCAAAGCGTTTCACAGAATATACTGTAAAACGAATTGACTGTATTATACCCTGATTTTTTAAGTTGTTACAAAAAACAGCTTTTTTTAAAATGTTAAACTAATGACTACATTGTACCTCTTTCAATTTTCTTTGACAGATGGTAAACCAAAGGTGTGGGTGTATGGAGTATCTGCAGCTGCTCTGATTCTCATTATCTTCATAACTGTCCTGTCTTATCTGATTTGGTAAGCGTTAGAAGACCAGCACTTTTTGATAATTATAATAGTAATTGCAAATTAATTCTCCACCAATAGTCCAATGATAAAGCACGTTGATAACACTGCCTGCGGTGCAGTATAGTTGTGTTATAACAGTCTTCCTTATATAAGCACAAATTTAGCTATAATGTGATTGCACTGTTGGCCCCACTGGCTGCCCCATGTGTGCAGCAAAGCTGCTTGTTTTCCAAAGTCCCAACTGCCTTTTGCTCTAAAATGGCCAATTTCCAGGTCATTTGGATGCCATTGACATCACTTCCTGTTTTGTTACGCATATGCAGAAGATGACATTAGCAGCAACCTAATGACACAGAAATTGGCCATTTTTTATCATATTCATCGATATTATTTCTTGCTTCATACATGCAAAGAAATCTTGAAGGAATGTTTTCCTAATAAGTCAGCCATAGTTTATAGAGCGGGAAAAGATTTGCCAATACATCCAGCAGTAAAGTGCTTCAAAATTGCATTGCCTGGCGCTAAAGAGATCACTGTACATGTGTAAACAGATGTGCTAAGAGGCAATAAAAGCCAATTTGTTTTTAATGCTGTAGGTACAGTTATGTGTCCATTGAACCTTTTAGTGGCCATTTCCAAGTGAAGGCGGAATCAATTTGCAAAACATGACTTTGTATTACAACTGTGTGAATCGATGTTCTGGGAAACCAGCTGGTTCCGTGATTGCACACCTGAATCATTGATTTATACGGTGGTTTTCTTGTCAATTGTGGGCAATTTTCACAGGCCAATCAACAAACAAGGTTTAAACAGAGTATGAGAATGATCAGAATCTGAATACTTGTAACTCTCTTATCATTGAAAGTCTGTCATCTCCATAGAAAAGCAAATAATGCGCCCTGTTTAAAATGTAAAAAGTCTGCAAGATAAACCATTCTACACTAATTGATTGGCCGTGAGCTGTTCAATCCCAAACCTGCTGTTTATTATATAATTTAGTCCCAATTTCTGTCGAGTTGATAAAAAGAACCTTAATTTTCCCCGTCATTTATTAAGAAATAAACTGAGAATAGGAATAATAATAGTAATAATGTTAGGAACAAAGATTGTACACAGCCCTTCCTTAAAAAGAGCCCACCTTAGGCTTCCTTGTTGTAATAATAATAATAATAATCTTTGCATTTGATATAGCGCCTTATGACATCTTCGTGATGTCTCAAAGCGCTTCACAGAATATACTGTAAAGTGAATTGACTGTATATTTTCTGTGCAGCCAATTGCGCATAACAGTGTCCCACAGTGTAATTTCCCCCTTCCTTATTTTTCCAGTTACCACTGATTTGCACAGTTGCGAAGTTAATCTTAAGTCTATAATTTAGTTATTCTTACTTTTTTTTACAGTAAAAAGACAAGTCAGCAAAGACGCTCAGCCCCTCAACAGAAACCTCTGACTTTAGCCTACGATGGAGATATTGACATGTAATGAACTCTCCAGAGCCGATTCTTCCATTGTACTGTTCATAATCACAGGATGACAGAAGCCTTAACCTTAGTGTTAAACACTAGCAAGGAAGATAATCCTCAAAATCATCTTTGAGAAATGCCTCAGAAATCACTTCTTAAAAAAAATGATCCTCAGCAAATTCGAATTGTGGACTTGGACATGAGCTTTTATAAAAGAATCTGAAAGTTACATAGGTCAAACTTTACAGAAACTCTAATACAACTGACAACTCTTTACAATTGTTTACTTCACAGAGGAGTTAGCACTTCTTAGTGAAATGAAGACCAAGACTGATTTATACTGCATTCCATGTTCAATTTTCATGACAGTAGGTGAGAAAAGTTTGCTTAGAATTTCTAGTCGAAAGGTATGAAGACAATCCAAATGAAAACAACATTGCATTTACAATCTGTCATCCGTAAGTGCATTATGATGGCAGGAAAACTCTGCATATTGCTTTAAAGAAGAACTCTGGCCTAAAAGGCCAATTTTGTAGAACACTATGCGCTATATTAGTGCATCATTTCTTGCATTTATTGAACAAAAAAAACAATTTCTAGTGTTACAATATATGTACGAAGAATTTTAATATCACATGTAGCTTATTCTTTTAAGTGACTTTCTCTAAACAAAATCTGGTCGATCAAAGAGATGCAAAAAAAAAGTTGCATTGTGGAGCCTTAATGAATTTTATTTTGTAATGAACACCTTTGCTTCAAATGAGATAAGGCCCCGTCTTTTAATTGGAAGTCAGGGTGCTCCTGGGGGAATGGTGAGTATCATGTGTGGGAGAGAATGATATTTTCAGTAGATAATGATAAATGGTTCATATATTTCTGACTTCAGTTCCACGTCTTGATCATTGTTACCCATATGAGGTGACCAAGTGTAAATAGTGTTCTGCCTCTGCACCAAATGAAGTCACTCACTGAGTCATTAAACACTTTGTTCTCCTGTAATCAGAAATTTCTATCAGTTCATCTTGAATGGCAAGACTTAGTGAATAATCAGTTTTAGTTTCCTTCAAAGATTTTGTGATAAAATTAAATGATCTGACTGCTGACTGGTATTTAATGATGAAATCAATATGGTTCATTGCAGAAAAGAGAGGCTAGTTTGAATTCAGTTTGATGAACTTGGCCAAATGCCTTGAAGACAATTATTTAATCTACAAGTTACAATGGTTGTGGATTCATATAACAAACATAACATAGCTTTTACTGATCTTCATTTGTGAGTCTCAGGAGAGTTGTGCTAACAGCTGGTATTGTGTGTTCGTTTTTGAAATGTGTTCATTATTCAAACTGGGAACAGTTTTCAGTGTATTTTTTGTGAAAATAAACCAGAAAGCAGCTGGTTTTAATGTGGACGTTCAGTTCTCGTTTGCTCCACACTATATGGACAGTACCTTAATGATGGGAGAGAATGTTTTGCAAAGCTGATAAATGAACTAACTAACATTTCAGAAAGTTGAAAATTTGGCAAGTGTTGAATTTAGTCTGAATTTTGAAGTCAGTTTTCTGTAGTAATTTACAGAAAAGTGGCTTCAAATTGAGACAGAAATAAAGAATTTTCCATCATTTTGTGATCTGTTTTAGGTCTTAACAGACTAAGACTATGGAATTTTTGAGTCTGCCATCCCAATCTGTTTTAAACAAACATGATCTTTGCTAAAATAGTTAAATACAGTCTTAGAAATCTATTGACTGAAAAATTACCCCAGTTCCATTACTTTTATATTTTACTAGATTCCTGTAAAATCATGGGCAACCATTCACGAAAATGGAGAATCTGTCTTTTGGACAAGACGTTAAATCAAGGTTCTGTCTGCCTGTTTAGGTGGACATTGAAGATCCCATGGCACTATTGAAAAAGAGAAGGGATTTCTCCTAGTGTGCTGGCCAACAATCCCCCAAATAAAATTGATCATTCACTTCTTGTCCTTTGTGGCACATTGCTGTGTGCAATTTGGCTGTCGTAAAAATCCTGTGAAGCGCTTTGGGACATCCTCCTTACGTGAAAGGCACTATACCAAATGCAAGGATTATTATTATTAAAATCATCAAGTGGAGAATGTTGTTCAGTGTCTGCCATCTTATTGACAATTCCAAAATAGAATAACTCTTTTCCTTAACACTTTAGTGACTAAAACATAGAAAGTATTGATTAATTACAAGGGAACATATCCTCTTGCTTCCATGTGGAGTTTATTACTTACTGGTAGATTTCAGATCAAATTTTAAGTTTTTTGATAGTGCAGCCTTCTTTCTTTAATGGTGCTCGGTAATTTCAATACTTATCCAGACATCTCACTCACAAGTAATTCTGTTTCTCAGAACTTCTATTGAAAACAAAACTTCTTTACTGACCAAAGGATAATAAAATGACATTAATGATTAATTAACAGCACTGTACCAATTAACAAACTGTACTGCATTTGAGATTTTATTTATTATTAGATAAAACCTCTGTAGATCAATTAAAGACATATTACGTTCACTCATATCTTTGCAATGGTGTGCATCATGCTTTACTCCAAGCCAGCCTTGAAGAAGCGACTGAGTGAGAACTGTACCGCAGCTACGAAACAAGAAGGCAGTCAGATGAAGATGTGACTGGAGGATTGTGTTTCAATCGTTTGGCATTGATCCAAGTGAAAAAATGCCTCCTACATTGCTGCTGTCTCCTGGGCACATTATTCCGGTATTCAGGTGATCAACTTGTCATTTGGGCATCAACATTCTACAGTGTTATGAATGGCATGGATTGCATGGGATACAGAAACGAGCTCAATTTATATATATATATTTTGGTCAGCTGGGTGTTTGACACATGATCTGACACATTCAGTAACCCATCACCATGTTTATCCAGGCCAATCTGAGAATTCCATGCACCCACCTACACATGGAAATTCCAGAGATGATAATAATAATAATAATAATCCTTGCATTTAATACAGCGCTTTTCACATCTTCTAGATGTCTCAAAGCGCTTCACAGAATATACTGTAAAGTGAATTGACTGTATACTTGTGGGCGAAATGCGCAGCCAATTGCACACAGCAGTGTCCCACAAACAGTTGTGGATTGAAGTGACCAATTTATTACTTTATTACCTAATTTATTAGGCAGGTGGAGTAAGAAAATTTGCCCAAGGTTTCACCCTGCTGGGAATCAAACCCAAGTCTCTCGCTTGAGAGGCAAGTGCTCTCACCACTGAGCTACAGGACTCCACAAATATTCTAAGGAATTCTAAAATAGGCATAAAAAGAGATCTTTTCTTTATCCCAAAAGTCGATGGACGCACCTCTGATAATTCAGCACTCACTGGACATTTCACTGGACTGTCAGTCTAGAATATTAATCTCAAGATCCAATATTGGGCTTTGAGCTCACAACCTTCTAACCCAGAAGTAAGGGAGGAGCAATTCCAGCTGAGCCACGCTGACATCCTAAAATACTAGAAAATCAGCACTATTTAAACATTCCATTAGAACGTAATCTTAACCAAAGCAGTTGTTTTCGTTAAAATAGGTAAGACACATTAAAAGAGCCTGAACAACAAAGTCAATAATAAAAATCATTGTCACATTTTAGGGATATCGATCAGATCCATTGGCATATCAAAGACTATCACATTTCATTTGGTTGTCTGTCTGGTGAAGGAACAACATTATTGTCGCTTGTATATGTATTAAATTTAATTAGCTTAAATAATTTTCAAGTATTTAATATTGGTGAAAAGATATTGGTGGAATGGAATACATACTCCCTGGAGGGAAGCATCCTGCTTACCTAATTGCTGAAAATGTTAGGTTGGCAAGAACCAAGGCTTGGAGACCTCTGAGGTACTGTTGGAGTCTAACCAGCTGAAACCAAATACCTTCCTATTGATTTTGCTGTCTGGCAAGCTTTCCCGCTGCTTGTCCAGTTAGAACCAACCTACCAGTTAGAGCTTTGGCATGCAGGGTTAACAGAAGCTGAGTGGGAGTATTCCCTACCCCCAGTCACTGTCTGCCCTGCCGATGATCCAAGTTGGCTGTGCTGTCATCAGCAGTGTCCTGGAATACTGTAGAAACACCTCAGGAACCGGATTCCTGAGACTGCCACAGAGTGCTGGCTTGATTCTGAGATTACGTTGCCAAGCATGTCACCTTACAGGCAGTTCAGCTCCAAGGAGATCCGACTCATCTTTCCCCACCCTGCCCCAAGGAGTATAGTCACTAGTTGGTCATTTGACAAGCACCGGTTTGAGCCATCGTGAGGCGAATGCTAGGTACCAGGAACTCCCTGTGAGCTTCCAGGTGGGCAAGGCATCTCAGAATTAAATCATGTAATGCTCAAAATAAATAAAATCCAAACCTGTAGCTTCAAGGACAATCACACACAGCTGTCTCTGGGAGTTCACTGCCACACAAAGAACATGATTTGTGTTAGTTTCATAGCTTCAATCTTTCTTTCATCTCCCCCACCCCAAGTGTGAGAACATAGGATAATGTGATATAATATTATAATGGTAAACCTAAGATAAAATTTGCACTCCATGGAATCGAATATCAGAATTGATTGATTTGGTCGCAGCATTAGTGTACTGTTTTTCAAACAATTCCTAATAATTCCTGATTGTGGTATTTTTGCCCACAAAATACACCTTCAAATCCACTTTACAATATAAACAAAATGCAAAATACTGCAGATGCTGGAAATTTGAAGAATATCTTTACAATATATTCTGTGAAGCACTTTGAGATGTCTCAACAACATAATAAGGTGCTATATCAAATACAAGAATTTTGTATTATTATCTATGGGTAGCTTGTCTTTTGTCCGAGACCTGGAAATATTTATTAAGAATCTTAAAATGATTCAGAATGGTAGAATGTATTATAATATTAAAATTAGTGATAAAATATAATGTCTTGGTACAAAAATACCAGGTACATCTTGGTTTCTGAAATCCAACCTCGATATTGAGGATAATCTTGTAAATCAAAAAGCAATTTGCAAACAGTGTGCTGAATAACTATTAAAGTTATTAGTTTAATAAGTGATTAGAGGACTCACATCGGAAGCAGGAGACCTGGTTCAATTCCCAGCAGGGAGAAACATTGGGCAAGTTTCCTTAGTCCACACGTCTCTGCTTACGTAGCAGTAAGTAGGAACCCAGTTGGTTAGTCGATTGGGGGATCGCTTTTCTGGGGGTAATAATTGCTTCAAAAAATATAAAATTGGTCACTCAATCCATGACTGTTTGATGGATACTGCTGTGCACAATTTGCTGCTGGGTTTCATCCACAAAATAAAGTCACTACACTTCACAGTATATTCTGTAAAGTGCTTTGAGACGTCTCAAAGATGTGTTCAGGCGCTATATCAAATGCAAGGATTATTATTATATATATTACTTAAAGGTGATTAAAGAGGCCATTTGGCCTATTATGTTTCACTCATCCCCCTAATGGACTATTTGCCATATAGACATTTGCCTACATAACAATTGTTAGTACACAACAAGAGTACTCATTCTGTGAGGTGCTTTGAGACTGATTTTAATTACCAAGGATTTATTATTCTATTTTCTGTGTGATAAAACATGTTAAATGCAAGTATTATTTATTATTTCATATTTTATTCTGTTGAATGTTATAATCAGTTTCAAAGGAATCATGCTCTTTGTCATTGTGGCATTGATCACTACTGATCTACCCAGTGGAATTTTTCTTTGTAATCGAGTACCCTTTAGAGGCATAAGCAATAAAGAAAACTGTTCCCTTAAAGTAATGAACTGTTCATGGAACATATTTAATTGTTATTGTATCTATTTTAATCTTAAATATCATATTAAATTAGATACTTAGTAAAAAAGGCTAATAAATCCCTGGTAATTAAAATCAGGCGAAATTACAAATGTGAATATTTATACAGTAGTATTTATTTATTGAAGCCGTTTTGCTTCTAAAAGAATTAGGCAAGTGAAAATGAAAGTTGCTCATTCCCACTGCCATTTGTTGAGGTGTAGTAAAGGACTTGTGAATACATTACTGTTAAAAATATTAAAGTCTTCTGAGCCAGTGGTATGCCACTTGTATGCTGCTTACTCCATATTTAGAAGAGAGCAAGTGAGAAAATATGTGAATAGTCAGCACTGATGGATGCCTCAACCATTTTCAATATTGCAGAAATACAATATGGTGTCAGCAGAGGAATATTGAGGCAGCAATGGGGATGGAAATGATAATCTGTCAACAATACAATGGGTATTTGTGGGTGGGGTATTGGTGGATAAGGATGATCTCTTTGAGGGGAGCTGGCAAATCCCAATTATGCATTTCAAGAAAAGAACAACTGAGGCAATGTTGCAGGCATTCTGAATGCATTCTTTTGTTAACCGATTGAAATGCAAAGTATGTACAAATGCCCATTGCTCTATATTATATCTATTTTCCTTTCTTTTCAGTTTCCTTACTCCACACGCCTAATAATAA